CATCGTCGACTTCTCAGGGCTCCAAGCTGCGTCACTTGTGTTTCTATTCGGCACACCGTGAATCGAAAATGAAGAATAAACGTGCAATCCTCGACGGGAACTTCTCTCGGTAAGAATTTGAATTTCAAATTAGGCTGTAATATTCGTCGGGGAAGTTTGTAGTTGGCTCAATTCGTATCTCCTAAGACTTGAGAATAGCACGGCTCTAAAGATAATTAAGAAAAATAATTTAAACTGTCGGTAGTATTCATTTGTTAATAAAAACCCTTTTTCCTTTTTAAAAATGCTTAAATTAAACTGAATAACAAGACCCATGTTGACACATTTTCCATCATATGGAGTGGCCTTAATAAATTCACAAAAAGCACATTTTATGGACAACAAATAATTTAAACAAGTTAAGAATTATTTCATATATTCCGCGTGATACGTTCTAAAAAATACGAGCTAGAACTCGCTCTACAAAATGTTAGTTCCGTAAATCTAAATAAATAACGCATAGAAGCGCGCGGTGCAATTTCCATTCCCCTAGTAACTTTAGTTGACTCTATGCGGATATAAAGTATTACGTTAAACCTCACGTAAGATGGATTTTGACTGCACTCCGCTCAAGTTTGTAGTATAAAGTGGTTATTTCATATTCCATCAAAAAGACATGCATAATAAAACCACTGCTGGCCATACACGTACGCCTTTTTTTACCCTCGCTGGAAGTTTTGGAACTTTTTAATCATAACATGATTAGAATTTTAATACGCAGATTCTACTAAAAGTATTGTTGATTAAATATTATTTACTAGTTGTTGCTCGCGACTGCATTTACGTGAAATTGAACAATATAGCCTAAGTTAACGGGGACAATAACTGGGTGCCCTACTGGAGTAGGATGAGGTATGAAAGATAATGAGCCTATGTTTCTCAGCGATAACGTAGCTTACCAATGGTGAAAGAATTTTTGGAATCGACCCAGTAGTTTACAATATGTAAATAGAAAACAACAAATATTTCCTCTTTATATTAGTATAGATTTAACTACATTATGGTATCAAAACTTTACTAGATTATCACAGCTTTTAGATGTTATCAAAATGATCATTTAGATTTAATCGAAAAACCTAACATAATTCGCAAACGTGTGACATAATAAATCAATATTTGAAGCTGTTCGTGTGTTCATACATATATTCACAAATAAGGAGTGTTATCGGGTGTCTGATAAATTACCCCAACCCCTTTAACCTCGGAGCGTTGGATGCTTGAAATAAGGTAACATAACGCGAGCCGTTATCTCTCGTTTATTTGATATTCCCCCGAGTCACCGAATCCGATGAAATTTCCTGATTTATCTGAAACATTTTTTTTGTATTTCGAATTCATCGATTAATTGTAACAATGTTTATTGTTAAAATTTGAATAGAAATTGGTGACTACTGTAGTTGCTATACTAGTTGTATTCTGACTCCTTCTAATACAAGTTGTTGATTAAATCTCAGTTTAGAAGATAAGTTTTATCTTAAATATAATAGATGGCGCTTTCATTAATCAATAATAGGTAGATGTCGCTGTAATCGACTTATTATAATTCGATATTCGAAGATCTGTAATATAAAGAATCTTATAAAAAGCAAATACCTTGAGTAATCTCATTGTGTATAGTAACACGAAACCTACGTACAGTCCGTACTTTATTCAAAAAAGGACACAATTTCGCATAAAGTCGTAGCTTTTTATCACCTTTTATATCTCAATTTTCCCTTTTTTCTGACGAGATTGGCTCCAGCATCCGTGATATCAATCTAGGTCGGTGAGACTGAGTTAATGGCACGTGATACTAAGGCGAGGGGAATAAATGTAACGCACTTTGTTTTGAAAAGTGAAAACATATTTTACGTATTCTTTGCTAAAAAAATAGAGCGTCGGTGCCTCAGTGGTTTATGCAATTGACTTGTAATCTACAAGTCTTGGGTTCGAATCCCGCCGTGTACTAATGTGATTTTCGATTCTTCGAATTTTCAAATGTACATAATTTACCCCACGTTCTTACGGTGAAGGAAAACATCGTGATACAACCTGCACATATCGGCGAAGAAATTCAAAGATATGTGTGAAGTCGACCAACCCGCACTTGGCCAGCGTGGTTGACTATGGCCTAATCCGAGCCCCTCGGTGGGGACATATAGTGAGCTGGTGATGATGATTGCTAAAAAAATATAGTTAGACTCTGTTCAGTTAAACTTTTTTTTTAATTATGAGAGCCGTCGATTCGTATTATGGACGTCTTAGTAACAATCAAGTAGATGGCCATTATAGGTACGTTATACGGCCAAGAATTATATATTATGGAAAATATTTACAGCATTAACGTGATATGAATATTTTGGAAAATGTACTGTTGTTCAAAATGATTTTTTTTATGTTAATTAAATTAAAAAGAATTGTATTTAGTTGGTTGACACAAACATATTACAAAATAAGAACTCAGTCCGACGTAACTTAAGTGAAACGTACCCTGCACACCTGCGTTGCCACTTTAAAGTAATGTACTTTGTGATAAATTACTAAGATAGAACATACGTCTTCATGTTTAATTTACTGAAAAATCTTACTAATATAAATGCGAAAATTTAGATGAATGAATGGATGCTTGTTAGAGTTTGTAGCCTAAACAACTGAACGAATCTCGAAGAAATTTGGTATTGATATAGAGGATAGTCTGGATAACACATAGGCTACTGACTTTTGTTTTTTTTTTAAATCCACACGGACGGAGTCGCAGACTAAAACTAGGATAAATCTTTTACTAATGTTATAAATACTTAGATGGATGTTTATAAGAGTTTGTGGCCTAAACAGTTAAACGAATCTTAGTAAAACTTATCATACATGTCTAAATAGTCTGGAAGAACACACGGGTATACTTTTTTAATTCTACGTGGGCGAAATCACGGGGAAAACAAGTAAATTTATTAAATAAAACATTACTAACTATGTTTATAAAAAAGAGTTTATACAATGAAAACTCATGATATACTATCACGTCTATTATAATAACGACAGAATATTTATTATTCTTGTTTCACACGAGGCAGTATTGAAATATTAAGAACGGGCGCTTAGCTTTGACGAAACTATAGCATAATTGTTGTGCGATTGTTTCACGGCTAGTTCATCTGTATAGTTCCACAATTAAAAATCGAGTAGTATGCGCTAGGCTTATAGAAATCAAAGCGCGTCTAAACAGTTGCGCTAGTTTAGTCAAAGGTGTAAAAAGTGATTAAATCTATACTGTGTTGTATACAGTTCTCTCTTAACGTTCTACCCTCGTATGAAACTTTGTTACTGAAGAAAATGCGTAGTAGATTCCATGTGACAGTAATATCGCGTGATATTTGGTTTTAAATATGTACCATTGACAAACATTGCGGTGCGGTAACGTATGTATTTACGTAACTGATAATTGCTTAAATTTTTTAACTGGTTTTGATATAACGGTTATGAAATCACTTGCTGTCTGGAATAAATATAGTTACTGTACATTTTTTATTTTATTTTTAAAATAATTAAATCTCCGACTGGCTGGCGTATATCTACTAATATAAAAAACCGTAAATACAGACTAATATGTGGCGTAGGATGTAGGATGTCAGCAATTATAGCATATTTTTGAATAATACTTTTTTTTTAATAAAAAGCCCTACACTTACGACACGCTTTAGGCGATATATTTTCACGCTATTAAACTTACTCCCCGTAAATAAATTAAAAAAACTCATGTGGAAAAGGGACCATAAACTTCGAGCTGCCAACATTAAGGAAGCAAGGTTATTATGGTAACAGTAATTTAGACATTTGCAATTAAGAATTTGACAAACGTAAACAATAAAATAAAGTTTTTTTTTTTATAATTTCATGCGGATGCAGCCGCACGGTAACAGCTAGTCTTGTGATATCGCTGATATTGATTTGATAGAATAACATCAGTGAACCCCTAAAACATGTAACTCCTTTAGTCTGTTTGATCGTTGCATGGTAACCGTACAACAAGGTAAATGTTTTCCACACCTAATTGAATTAATACAAAAAGTTTGACAAATCATTACAAGGACATCATTTATTGCCACAAATCCTCTCCGTTTTACCAAATTAAACAAGACATAGAAGCAATCAGCCATATCTTTGGGACGCACGATGTGTACGAATTAATTGTCCCGCAACGGTCCTCCATAATTTATTATACACCTGGGTTTCGAATCGTGTTCACAGAATAATTACTTACTATAAGATTGTTTCATTTGTAAAGAAACTATTTTAAAAACAATTGAAATTAACTGATATTTAATTAAATCGATTATTCATATATAATACATTGAACCCTTGATTAGATACTGTCCAGTGTATCAACTAATTAAAAAAAAAACTTCTGAACTAGTTTAGAGAAAAATAAACGATATTTTGATTTTAATGTGTTGGTAATAACATTGTTTGCTACAAAATACTCCGTACAATTAAGGGGTTAATGTCCAAGACATACATAATTAACAGTTAACTATGAAATAAATTATAACATCTCCAGTAAACAAACATAACCATGATTCTCTAACGCTAAAGATATCCAACATAAGAGACAATTGAACCCAAATAGCAATGCAGCTAGTCTAGCTGCAACATGCGGTCCGTAGTAATCGACCAACAGATGGCGCTGTGTAATGTTATAATATAACTCTGTTAATTAGAAAAAATGCATAACCGCATTTATATTAAATGCTAATATTTGTATAACAAACAATGATAAAATTATACTTTTTTTATTAAAAATTTACAACATATTATATATTACTGGCTGAATGGACATTTCAAAGGAGTAAAAAAAGAAAAGTGAAAACAAAATGGAGGAACATATTAAAACAAGAAAATGCGTGTGTATAATTCTTGTTTTATTGCAAGTGTGTTAAGGACAAAAAAAAAGAAGAATTTTGCTTAAGTAGTGCTAGTTTATCATTTTAACAACATTTCTATATTGATACAACCACATAGGAAATGGTATTTCGTACTGACAATAAAATGTTTGAAGAGAATATTAACTAGTGTCCGTTTTATAAGAGATTTATTTGAATTCATTTGAGACCTAATCGGAAATAGTTAAGTAAAGTATTTCGCTATAGAAATCCCGTATATTATTTAATATTCTTTATTTCTTAACGGTTCAATGAACTCACAAAAGAATTCTCTTTCCTTCAGGCAATTTCTTATGAAGATTCGCGTTTTAATATTCGCTCGACGAGGATCAATAGACAAAAAACCAAAAGGAAGTAATTGGATAAAAGGAGATTTGGTAAGAACACATTGAATATTAAAAACATACCACTTGTATTCTATAAAAAATTAAGGATTACTGAATTTGTTCTGTAAAATCCAAAGAATAAACTGAACCCTAATTTCTTAAAACTAGAGACGAATATACGAAACAGCGCCATCGATTGTCTTTAAAAGATATTTAAGTTCAACCTAAAAAACTAAGATATATTAAAAGAGACACTTTTGAAAATTCACTTGGAAAATACTAAAAATAATTCGGCAATTAAAATATTATGGCGAGTGAGATTTGAACTCGTTTGAAAGCAATGTAAATAAATCATTCAACTTTGTTTACCAGGATAAATACTTTGAGTAAACTAACACTTAATTGTTAAAGTAGATATTTAAACATTTGTATTAAAAAATATACATATATGTACGTAAAATCCATTCTTGAGTAGTATGGTATTTCACATTAAAGTACGTCGTACAAATTTCATCTAAGATGCTGGCTCTAATGAAAATTGTTAGTAATTTTAAGTGCTCATTTACCACACGTTAGACATTAGAGGAAAATGCTTCCTTGAAATTGTTAGGAAGATACCTAGACTACCAATATATCGGAACTGGCTTTTAGAAAATATAATTGTCTTATTTTCCATTCAGAATATCTGTATAACGATTTTAACATTTTCACCCGTAAAAAATAACTTTTACCAATAAAATAATTAAGTTTAGAATAGTAAGAACTCAACCTTTTCCCTACACTCATAATCACAAAATTTTCTTACTCTACAGGCGCCATTTTCCTTCTTAAAATATTTTAAAGGTAGACGGTATAGAATTGTGAAAATTTATTTTATCTATGAATCTTATTTCAGTAATCGGTTTAAACTAAATCCGAGCTACTCCCAATTCCATAATTCGAAATTGTATCGTAGGAGCGACATAACGGCTTATGTTAGCCTAGTTTCACACATGGGTAGAACAGTGAGTACAATACGTTAGTAGTGCTAATGTTTGAACGCACACTTTTAAAACAGTCGTATTTTACCGACGTATGCACTATATTACTGCGTTAGTTTACAGCCCTCGTGTGAAAGTCATTACATTATGCGACGTGCGGTGAGTGCTCCTAGACTGAACAAAACTAAGTCATTTATCAGTATTTGGCAAAAAAGAGATTTCTTTTATTTTTAAACAGAAGATAAACTTTTTACTACTAGTTTTGACGTTGATTAAATAATATAGATTCCTTTCGATAGGTTTAATTACATATTTACAATCATTTCTATTTCAAATGTATTGTTTTGTACTGTAACATAAATTAAAACGTAACCCGTTATTGTCGCTTTGCCTTTTTTATTTTTATTACCTCAATTTGGCGTCCCCCTAACAAATTAGGGCCGTATGTATTCGTCTAAAGCCGTGTTAGAGTAAAGTTAATGACACGTGTGTTACGCGGTCGAAAAATATGCTTGTATTTTATTTTGTTGCGGAATTTTTGAACCATGAGAAAGGTTTGTTTTTTGTTTTATAAATTTAAAACGGAATAAAGAACAGTTACCCAACATTTTTTTTAATAAATGATGTTTCAATAATCCAAAATATCTTATTATTATTTGCGAAAGTTTAGACAGAATAATGTTTGTTAGAGTTTGCTATAAATTACTCAATGGGTATCGGTTAAATTTGTCATAGATGTAGAGGATAGTCTGTAATAAGAAATAGGGTAGTTACTTATTATTGTATTTCCACGCGGACGGAGTCGTGAAGGAAACATGGTCATTCATAAATCCTTTATTAATGTAAAATTATTTCAGTAACGATATTTATTTACCTCATTGTTTAGCTGTTATTGTCACTTTTTCTGCTATTTCAATTAATAATTTGTTGTTGTTTTTTAATTAAATAAGTACATAATTTCTTCGAAAACTTACTGTAGATTTTAAGGAATATAAAAAATGTTACATATTTCCTTTTTCGTAACTGTCTTTTCAACTTTGAGTTGTATCTCAATTTTCTTTTTTCCAACAAGATTCCCGCTGAAACTAAGCCTGTGAGAATAAAGTTAATGGCACGTATCTGGTGTATTGCCGACGTATAAAAAGTTAGTAGCCGTAATATACATTCCTAGTAATATTTCTTTCGGGAACTTAAGATTTTTATCTTAACATCTGCCTTTTTTATGAAGCTTCAAAAAAAAATTTTTCAAGATCCTTCTAAATAAGTTTCGTTTTTCTAAAATTGATGATTGGTCTTTTATGATAATTGGGATGGATGTTTGTTACTAGTTTCGAGTTAGCATTCTTACTATGTTTTTTTTTTTAATTCTGCGAGGATGATGTCGCGAGCAAAAGCAGTTAGACTTTTTTATAGAGATCAGCCCTACATACCTCGCCTTCCCTTGCAATGTCCATTATACCAACGTATTTTACCTTTGCTGGGTAATAATTTATTTCACGCGCTTATCAGACAATTATTTAAATTCATACTCGTTACGAATATTCATTTCATGTATATTTTTCTTCGGATATCGTATATTCAGTCAACATGGAACTGAACATTTAATTATGGACTTTAACATAATGAGAAAAAGTTCAAATTACAGTAACTGCATAATTCAGGCTTTATTTGTATTTATACACGGCAAAAGTAATTATTAATGGAATTTACATTATACTGTTTAATTATTAATTTAAATACTTGATAATGTTCTGTTGCAATATTTATTTTTTTGTTTACAATGTTAATTTTTTAAAGTAAAAGATTTTATAGAGCGTTTTTAAAGAGATGAAATTTGATTTATTTAGAACATCTTGCATAGAAAATAAAGGGACATTGTTTTTTTTTGTTGTCGCGGGGAATGCATTTACGCACTGCGCCGTCCATGCTGCGGGAGCAGCAAGAATGGTTTCGTGAGTGACTCCCAGTCTATGTTTCGGCCGGACTACCCACTAAACTCCGCGGTCTTCTCCTTCGTAAAACCGGGCCGTGGCATCTTACTTAGTTTATCCGCGACCCGCCTAGGGACCACAGATCGAAAAGCTTATGAGAAAAACTGTAACCATAGACTTGAGATATAGGTACAAGTTAATTTTAAACATTAAAAATTAACTAAAGACTAGATACAATTTTCAACTGGAATTTCTAAATGAATGCTTGTAATTGCAAGAACAAAATTAGATTTCACCTGACACTTGGCACCCGGGCGACTTTATCGCTTGGCTCCATTCCCGTATGTTCCCGGTTCCCGCAGGTGAGGCCTTACATAACATACAAGATACCGACACAATTTGTGAAATATTTTAACACGGAGACCGAAAATAAAAAAAGATTATCCATAAAGATATGGATCTAATGGAAGTTTTTTTTTTTAATTTACAGGGCGTCTGGAAGTTTTTAAAATTCTGTTAACTTAAGCAAACAATTCTCAACTTGTTTAAAAATTTACCCATGTTAAAAACAAACCAAACTATCTGCTTAATTTTTTTTTAATTAAGTCACAAAATTTAAAAAATGGAGGGAATACCCCATGCAGTTGCTCGCTCATTGGTCAAAATATGACATTGTTAGTTCTAAATATACCTGCTAAAGTATCTTTCCATCCAGACTCGTCATCAGACCATTTATGATGTTTGAGCTTTTATTGATGTATGACTTGTAATCTATAGGTTCTGGGTTCAAGCCCTGCCATGTACCATTGTGATTTTCAATTTTCAAATCACCAACATAATTCATTCGATGTTCCTACGGAAATATAGTGATGAACCCTGCACATATCGGCGAAGAAATTCAAAGATATGTGTGAAGTCAACCAACACGCAGCGCCAGACTATGACCTAGTCATCCCTAACTTTGGGTACGTATAATGAGCTGGTGATGATGAATATTGGTAAGAGGTAAAAATATTTTGTCATATATCTGTTTCTTTTTTTACAGAGGATTGGAGAGATTATTTGTACCAGAGTTTTATCAGTGGAAACCTACAATCAAGTTCTTTAACCTACGAATGTGGGATAATTAGATACAAAAAATTATAGAGCAATCAATCACGATATAATCAGCGAAATAATTAGTCTACGTAATTACAGTGGAGATTCTCAAGCCTTTAAGTTGAAATTAATTATGAATGTTAACCAACAAGATAATGTTAGATTATACCAAAGTTATAACGGTCAGTTCTCACTGCCAAAACACACGTGTAGTCTCTCTCATAATCTTAACGAAGAGAGAGAGAGAGAGAGAGAGAGAGAGAGAGAGGGAGGGAGAGAGAGAGAGATAGCATGATTTTCTGCAGATTCTCAATCGAAACTCAAGGTAAGATTAATTCTGAAATTTAAGTAAGTAAGTAAGGGCGGAGATACATATGCTAGTAGTTGGTACACTTGCTTTCAAGCTAAAGGTATATGTGTAAACGCTGGCTTCACGTAACATATAGTTTGGCTTTGTGATAGCTACGTGATAGCATGCAAGTTGAGATCGAGGTAGATATGAAGCTTGAGACTGAGTCTCTTGGTGACAGTCTCGTGAACTGGCATGCAAACTACTATTCCATATACATACGTGCTACATGTGTGTACTCTCGTCCTAATACATCTTTTTGATTCCCATTCTTTCCTTATAAATAAGAAGAGAAAGTAAAAGGCACTAACTAGAACATTTTGGCCTTTAAACCACTTTTTTTATTCTAGTCGCAGATAATGTATTAATAAAGTAAACTAGTATAAACGCAAGCAGTAATAGCGCTACCTCATGCATGATATTACTATGAAAGCCATATATTACTCATCGACCCTTAAAGCTGACAGTATGTCAGGTCTGAATAAATTTGAATATCAAATAAACTTCAGACACCATATTGGAATTGATAATGCTCCTGAACGATAAAGAAAATCGGTAATTTATTATAATTTATACGGATATTGTAAGTTCATTTTGCATAATGTATTAGACTGGTCTAAGGAAATAATGTTGACATATTAAAAAAGACAAATATCTTAGATACAGTAATTTAATGATATCGTAACTAGTTGAAAAGTTTTAACACATTTTATTGAAAAGTGTTTTTGTTTTCAGAATAACTTTTAACGAATCTCGCAACATAGAGTAAACAATCCGGTAGAGCGGTACACATTGTAACAGATGGGTGCATTGCGACGCGCACTGCCGACTTGTGGTAAAGCGAGGCAATCAATCTCTATTTTAAACTTGCTCTGTACATCAATTTTACAGCGTGCAGTGTACAAATTTATATGAAAATAATATTCATGGAAATTATGAAAATAAACGGTGTTTTCTAAGTTACTTTTAAACTGGTAGATAACATATGAACTGCTTACGTAGGGTTATACATTGATTTGGTAAGGTCTATCTTCTCTACCATATATGTACTATCTATGCATAATTGCTCGTCTGTAACAGAATATATTATAATACTAGATGTTGCTTACGACTTTGTCCACACAATATTAAGATAAAAAAGTACCCTATAATATGCCCGTCAGTGAAAGTCCCGTCGACGGCTCAGTCGTTTCGAAGATTACCCGGAACAAATGCGGCTTGTGGACAGACAGACAGAAAAAAATGTTTAAATGCGATTGTTAACAACGCAAATACATCGTCTTCCCGAAATCTGTTTGATATTATAGACACTCAAATTTTATTTTAGTTTATTGTATGTATAGATATGGAAGATTCTCCACTGAAGAATAGCAAACAATAGAATAGAATATATATTTATGACCACAAAAAAGATTGGTATCATATCTACAGCACAGTTTACTCCTAGATAAAAACCATCACATGCTAAAATTATATCATAATTATTACGATCTATTTTTATATTTCAAAATTACTTTCAAGAACGAACTAACATCAGTTGGCCTTTAATTTAATAATACTTCTACAAAACTCAGAGTTCAAGATAGGTTGGTTTTACGTCACGATTACGTGTAAAGTGACATAAAGCTACGTTTCCACTGGAACATAAATAATCTACTAGTACTAAGAAAATAGAGAAATTACTTTTTAGCAGCTTGTATCGCAACCTATGTGTTTTCTATTGTACTAGTGAGCGTGTTTAAAGTGTTAGTAATATTGCATTTATACTCGATTTTTTATTAATAATTTACACAAGGCTATCTATTAATTTTATACTTTAATGAAAAAAAAAACTTTCAGTTTTTCTCAGTGTAAACGGACCTTAAGTATACATATAGCATATCTTTTGAGTCAACAAATAAAACAAAGTTTATATACAAGATGACGAATTACATCGCCTCATTGAAGACCGCGCACTGTAATGGAAAACAAATTTTGTGTTTTCTTACATCAAAAATGGGAGAAATCAATGTACAAAGCTTAGGAAACACAGGTATGTAGAATATTACAAAAAAATCCGCATTACTTTTTACTAATGTTCGCCCGAGACTCCGTCTGTGTGTAATAAAGTAAAAGTTAGTAGCCTATGTGTTCTTCCAGACTATCCTCTACATCTATGACGAATTTCATCGAAATCCGTTCAGCGATTTTGGTGGAAAACTCTAACAAACATCCATCCATCTAAACTTTCGCATTAACAATATTAGTAAGATTTTAACATATCTGTAGAAATATTGTGAAATCAGTATTTTTTTCTAAAATTTTAGATATAAGAGGAAAAGAATCCTCTTCTTTCGCTTTTCTTTAACTAGAAATGTGTTTTCGCTCCACTTATGGATTACCCAATTTTAATTATGTACTCTTGTTTTATCTTTTAAAATTCATAAGTAGTCTATAAAAACGAACCCAAGATTAATATCACTATGCTACAAAACTATTGGGTATAAAAGTCGCTCTTTTAACGTAACTAAGAGCGCCTTATTCTATATTATTTTAAAAACTAAACGTTTAGTGCTCAAATAACAATTACTTCATATTTGTTAACACTCTGTGGCAGTTATACGTAATTCCAATTTTGCCAACTTTGATTCTACGTTGTAAATTCTACCTTATCACTTTATTTTGTTATAAAAATAGTTTATCTGAACTCAAATAGTTATACTTCGTTTGTATCTAAATATTAAATTGTTTGCTTTAAGATTTATTCGCTTAATGTTGATTATTTTGGTGATAATAATTTTTTATCACAAAAAACTGTATTCTTTAGATTGATTTTGATGACGTAAATGATTACAAATATATGCAATAGGATCAAATGGTGCAATATTTTATATATGCGCAATTTTAGTTAAAAAAGAATTATATCGACGTAGGTTTTCACTGCCAAAAAATCTGTACAAAAACATATTGGCATCCATTTTTATCCTATAAAAAACTTTATGCACGAGTAACTATTCCACTCCCAACTGACATATCCCATATTGAATAAGCCTTCCGAGAAGTATTTGATTTCAAATCTGCTGAATCTGATCTGTTATATTGTGAATATCAGAGAAGAACACGAGTGCAGTGGAACTAAAAACTCCGACAGAAGAATTAGATATAGCGTTGAAAGAATGTGGCTTCGGATGGTTCCACGTATTACTACTGCTGGCTTCCCTTATCGGCTTCGTGGCCGGTCAGGGGGTGAGCAGTACCACACCATACATCCTGCCCGTCGCTGAATGTGATCTCAACATGGATTTGCTGCAGAAGGGATTCTTAAATGCTATCCCATTTATAGGTAAGCAATATTTAGTTATACTGTTAGAGTCAGCAACGGTATTAGCTGTCTTGCATTAACAAATGACTCGGTGATATCACGACCATGCAACAGATGGAAAGTGGAAGAATTCCCACTTTTAATTTAATGATTATGTGGTGATGAATAATATTAAGCAAAGGTTTAAACCTAAGTACTGTAGCACCATAACACGTTAGAATCTCAGATATATTTAGTCAACACTTTAAAGACTAAATAAAATACATATGGATTAATTAGGATTTGTTAACAGCGTAATATTATTAGCCGAAAATAATTACCTCGTAGTTATTTTTATAACATTCTTTCTAAGCTTATTGATGACATACATTTGTGTCGTGTCGTAGGCTTACAATATCGATTGAGTGACCTCATTTTTGCAATATGATGGTTAGTCTACATTTCTTTGTATGCTAAAATACTATTACTGGTAAAGTAGAAAGTATTACATTTTTCCTACCATTTTTAATTTTATAATTAAGTGAGAAAAAGATAACGTATGGATATATGCGTAAAGATAATAATGACATAAATAAGAAAGTATTGAGATTGAATGCCACAAAGGTAAAGGAAGACCGAAGAAAGTATTGATATATTTTGTGAAAGAGGATATGCTGATAAAAGGAGTGGATTCAAATATGATGGTTGATATAGATGAATGGTACAGCACATCCTGTGCCGACCCTACGTAGGGACAAGGGCAGGTTGATGATGATTTAGCCTGTAGCAATAAAGGAGCAGATTCTAATTTGAAAAGGCAAAAGCAGACCTTTGAACTGCAGAGGGCACAATCAATTTATACTAGTTTGATTCTCTTTACAGGAATGACAATATCTTCGATAGTTGCTGGATTTTTAACTGATACTTTTGGTAGGAAAATATTTCTCGTCTATGGATTTGGTGGACTATTTATATGTACATTGATGGCAGGATCCAGTCAAACGTATCTTTTATTCGCATCCGCGAAGTTTCTAGAAGGAGCATTGTAAGAGACATTTTAAATATTGATTTAATTTGAAATTAATATTGAGTATAGTCAATATTAATTTCTTATAATATTAAAACTAACTAAATAATATTACTTAAATAAAATGCTATCTTAATTGTTTTACTTAACATGAAGTATTCATTTCTAGGTTCGGAATTTCCTTCAACCCTCTGATGATTTTGACATCAGAATTCTGTCACAATGGAATCAGAGACCGCGTTGTGATGTTTCAGTCGTCATTCGCTGCGCTTGGACAAGTTATAATTGCTATCATTGCGTGGGTGATTCTTTCATTAAATTGGAAAGTGACATTTTTCGACGGTCATTTTGGTTAGTATTCACATTCTGAATTTAACAAGAACAGCAGAGTTGTTTAATTTATTGGCTTATTACACTTATGCTCTCAGAGACGTTTTATAATTAATTAAATAGGCCCTTAAGTAGATTATTCATATTAAATAAACTGTATGAGAACATCTTAAAGACGACCATATAAAAATAACCTCTTAATTGTAAGTGCGAAAATAAAAATAATTCTCTTCCTTAATTTCAGTTCTTCACACTTGGAACTTCTACATTTATGTGATGTCAATGTGGGCTCTGCTCTCTTGTCTCTTCTACACATTTCTACCTGAAAGTCCCAAGTACTACATAAGTCAGGGGAAATTCGACTCCGCAGGAGATGTTTTGATGAAAATTCATAAAACTAATATGAAATCGGATGCTACCTTAACGGTAAGATAGAATATTGCATTGCTGTGTTTACTGTTTTATTTTTTAAATTATTTATATTTGAGGGATATAAGTTTATGAAAAACAATTGCTATGACTAATTTTAAGTGTTTACGAAACTACGCGAATTATCAATTTTCTCTGTTTTTTTGTGAGAAGAAAATGAGAAAGACAAAATGAATATGTTTTTGTAAAGGTATTTTAAAAGCGAGAACCTTCCCAATCTCGAACATCAGGTGATTCTCGCTACGGTAGTGGGCATCGAAGTTTATTTCAATGTACATTTCAGCACTCTGAGTTATGGACAAGGAAGGAAGTAAAACGTGAGAGAAGCCAATCTCTGAGAAGTGATAAAGTTAGAAGTTTCAAGAAGAATCTAGTCATGGGCTTTTATAATCTGAAACCGATGTTCCGACGACCTCTGCTTTATTATTTAATACTTATCTGCGCTATGAATTTCTTGACGATGTTATTGTAAGTAAATGTTAGATCAAATTTATTTCATAATTATAATATACTACCAGTTGCTCGCGACTTTGATCATGTGAAATAAAAAAAATTAAAAATCAGCCTTTGTTATTCACAGACAACGTAGCTTTGTAATGGTGAAAGAATTTTTGAAATCTGTCCAGTAGTTATCGAGTTATTTCAATAAATAGAAAACATTCCACTTTAGAATATTAGTATAGGTTTTTACCTATACTAAATAATTTTTGATCGAAAAAAAGACGTATTCATTATTTGTGTTGAAAACAAAAATAGTTTAGTTTTTTTATTAAGGGTAACTCTATTTCTTTCTACTTAGTAAGACCAAAGACATTCAGATAGATACATAAACTAAGTTTATACAGCGTTAAGTCCATTTTTCACATATTGAGGGAAAAGTTAATATTTTATTAACATATTTCAGATTCAACGTTATAAGACTGTGGTATCCGCAGCTGTCAGCGATTGTTGAGAGTTTCGGCAGCAACCAGCCGCGGCGAGACTTGTGTATGATGTTGGACACTTACACTGAAGATATTAAGTTAAAAAGCGTTAATTTAACGGATTTATCAACATGTGTACCGGTAATATATATAATAATATTTCATTTTTTCCTATACTTAATATTGTAAGGAGGATAGATTTGTATTTTTGTATGTATTGTAATAACTCAAAAATTACTGGGTAGATTTAAAAGATGCTTGCACTATTAAAGAGCTACGCTATTGCCGAACAACATAGGCTGTTTGTTAACAATTTTTAAATTCGCGTGGACGGAGTCGCGAGCAACAGCTAGTGATAAAATAAACGAAACCTTCAGCAACATAGCATTATAGATATTAGCATGTAGAAGGAAGAAACTTTCAATCTTACTAATATTATAAATGCGACAGTTTAGATGGATGGATGTTTGTTAGAGTTTGTAGCCTAAACGGCTAAACGAATCTTGATGAAATTTCTGAAATCTGGAAGAAAACATATTCTAGTCGCTTTTGTTTTCTTTTTAATTCCACACGGACGGAGTCGCGGGCGAAAGCTTGTATCAAATAAATTTGATTATACGATTCGCATTTTATAGAGTAATTTCTTGTTTAGTCTAGTTCAACATAGTTCAGTAAATTCACACATACTTGTTTGTCATTTTACTAAACTATCTCAAGGGTCGCAAGGGTCCGACCGAGCTCATAAAAAGGTTACGATCAGTAGTAAATATTACTATTAAACTTGTACTTTAATAGAATATTTTAATATACATAAAATATATATTTTGAAAATTGATATGAATTTTCATACTAGCTTTCGCCCGTGTCTCTGTCTGCGCGGAATTAATAAAAAAGTAGTCATGTTTCATCAAGATCCACTGAGCCGTTCCGGAGATACGTTCTGAAAAAACATCCATTGGGATGGAAAAACATCCATTAGATTAGATGGTGGGCCATCTAAATATTCGCATTTGTAATATTAGTAAGATAGGTTACTTAATTACAATTACTTATAGTAAATGTAATTTAACTGCGATTTTTATTAAAAAATTGTTATAACAAATTATTTTTTCTTTTTAACTAATGTTTAAATTATGCTAAGATAATGGTTTACGATAATTATTCAAATGCCAGAATCGAACCAACGACTGCATGATTGAAAATCCGTCACCTTAATCATTACGTTATTGGTTATTTGATTTAATAAGAACTTAGTTTAACAAAGTTATACCGAACTTCCACTGGAATTGATTTAACGACGTAGCCATTTTAACGACGTTAATAAAGAGTTTTTATTTTACATTTTTATGTCTCTATTCTATGCTTACGATGAAACATTGAAACACGAAAATCCTTCGTTTAAGCAGTACCATAGTGTAGAATTTTCATTAATCTAACCCAGTCTAATTTAACAATGGTAGAGCCCGCTTTAACATCTTCGCACGAATGGGTCGGTTCGCCCGGTGTAATACCACGATCACACAGAAAACAGGCGTGAAGTGGAAGCAATTCCTCGTTTCATCTGATGAGTGTGGTGCCGGAGGCGTAATTTTAGTCCCTTTTCCTTTGCACCCCTTTCCTAAGAGGAAAGCATGGGAAGGAAAAGTGGATTTGACGGTGGAGGTGACGTATAGGACGGGGAAATGTCCTCTTTATGTGCGTCTCCTCCTCCGTAAATTAAGGGTAGACAACGCATCTGCAATTGCGGATATTTATGGGCAGCGGTTGCTTTCCATTTCAATGGATTCAGATGGCCGCTTGCTCGTTTACCATCTTGTATTATAAAAAAAAAACCCAAGGAACTTCATTGAATATTTTTGAGTTATTTCAATACATACAAAAATCTAAAAATTCAAATTATTCCTCTTTATAATATTAGTATTAGATAATAAAGTGCAATTTTCTTTGCAGACTATAAGTGGTAAAGAAACGTATATAAACAGTGTAATTTTGGGCTGTGTGTCCTTAATACCGTTGGTATTGAGTGGTGTTCTTGTAAATAAAGTTGGTAAGAAGAATCTATTCCTGGTTGCTGGACTGATATCGGTAGGATGTACTCTCGGACTGAGATGGACTAGTTCTAAAGGGACGATGGTCGCTCTGTTCTCTTCAGACGTAGCTATTACACAAGCAATGATGAGTTTGAATCAAGCATTTACTGTGGAACTGTTCCCTACAACTACTAGGTAAGTATTGATTTTATGCTATGGTTTCAAATAGTAGGTAAAATTTACTTCAGATCATTGTATTCTTGTGGTTTTTTTATGTTTATTTATCATACTAAGCGCCTTTCCCACCACTGGCTGATAGAGGCTCAGATAGCTAAAAATTGACGTCACTGTCAGATATGGTAACAAAATCCGATATGTCCATCACATATTTTACACCTTAGATTTTTATGAGTCAATTTCGTGGCGGAGGCCCTAAATATTGTAAATGCAAAAGTTTAGATGGATGGATGTTTGAGAGTTTGTAGACTAAACGGCTTAACGGATTCAGATGAAATTTGGTACAGATGTAGAGAATAGTCTGGAAGAACACACAAACTACTCACTTTTGTTTATTTTTTTATTTCACGCGGACGGAGTTGCGGGCGATTGATAGTTAATTAATAAGTATAAAAAATAATTAGAATCGAAAATACGAAATAAACTTTTAATATTTCATTTTATGTATTACACAAAATAATAATATTTGCAGTTTTACTTTGCTTAAAAAATATAGTACTTTTTAAAGCTATTATAGAATCATGCTATAATTATTATATTCAACAAGTAACAACTAATCTCGGTGATTTATGTTTGTAATCCATTAAAGTCTACGTGATTTCATCAGATTGATTAATAGTTCGTTTTAATTAGCTTTTAATAAACATAACACTTTGTACCTTAAGAGAAACGAACGTAATACTAAAACATATGTACTATAAATACTAATATTATGATAAGAAAGTTATCGTATAACTTTTGCCCGCAACTGCCAACTTCGTCCGCGTGGGATTAAAAAAAAAACTTAGTAGTCTGTATTCTTCCAGACTTTACATGTGTGCCAAATTACATCTGAATCCGAAATTAAACTTTTAATAGTAACTAGCTTTGCCCACGACTTCAACCGCGTGGAATTAAAAAAAAAAACAAAAGTAGGTAGTCTATGTGTTCGTCCAGTTTATGTTCTATGTCTATGTCAAATTTCATTCAAATCCGTTCAGCCGTTTAGAGTAAAAACTCGAATATAAATCCATCCTAGCATCTAAACTTCGCATTAATAATATTAGTATGAAGTACGATTATATGCAGTTAAATATAAATTAATCAGAATCCATATAATTTAAAATAGCGCCATCTAGTGTTCATCTTGTGTAAACTTTATTCGATGTTTAAAATTGTAACTTTTTAATTACAGAACATTAGCCATATCAATGATGATGACATTTGGGAGGATCGGCACATTGGTAGGTAACGTACTCTTTCCCGTAATGCTCAACATGGGATGTGGAATATCGTTTTATACGCTCGCGGGATTGATGATATGTAAGTAATAATTTTTACTATTATAATAAAGCGTAAACACCCACTTCTTTGTTGCCTAAGATGTCAGCAATTACAGCATATTTTAAAATAATTATTTTTTTAATAAAAAGCCCTACACTTACGTCGCGCTTTAGGCTATATATTTTCACGCCATTAAACTTAGGGGGCTAAATATTTTGAATAAAACCCTAAGAATTTGACAAATGTAAACAATAAAATAATGTTTTTATAATTTCACACGGATGAAGTCGCACGGGAACAGCTAGTCCTTTAGAAGTATGAAACATTTATTACCAAGCTAATTTAGTATTAACTCGATTAAAATTTTCACAGTTGTAGAGAATATTCTGGAAAAAAACAGGCTAGTTACTTCCTTACATTTTTTAAAGAGGATGTTTCCTAATGTTACAAATTTAAAGGCGTATCCAACCAAGTTGTAAATTGTCTGTCAACAATCCAACGTGCAAAATATCTGATGGAAATATTAGATTTATGGCTGAACAACTAATCTGACTATGACGTCATTTTTAAGCTATCTGAGCCGCTATCAGCCAGTGGTGGGACAGGCCCTAAATAAAGTTACGTTTAAAACAATAAAGGCAGTATTTTAAAACATTTCATAACAATTTAAACCTTAGTTATTTGTCTTAATTTAAAAAAAATATAAAAGTTGCATTATTGGATAACGGATGACGTCGCTGGCAAACGCTGGTATTATAACAACGTTAAGTAAAAACCTCGATTTTTTCTAATTTCAGGTGTCACTGCGTTGGCGTTATTTTTACCGAAAAAGAAATAATAGCTTCAACTTTATAACAACAGTGCTAATAGGAGAAATAAATGTCCTCCATTTGTTTATTATAATTTATAGCCTGTGGGAAAACGTAATTTATTTCATAAACTACATGTGACTTAACTATAATATGACTAACTTTTTCATAATATTATACTAAAGGTATCTCCCACCAAATTGTAAATTATCTGATAATAATCCAACATCTAAAACGCGATGGATATATCGGATTCTGTTACCTTATCTGACAGTGACGTCATTTTTAAGCTATCTGAACCTCTATCAGCCACTGGTGGGACAGACCCTAAGTATAATAAATATTGGGATTATACCAATATTTTTATCAAATACTCTAGTCTGTTATGTATGTATTAATATAATGTAATATAAATATGTATATATTTACTAAAGTATATGTATTTTTAGGCTAAAAAAACAAATCTAAGTTTCCTTTCCTGACCTTTTTTTATTTACACAACCAATAAAGAAAATAAACTCTACATTTATACAATAAAGTAAGATAATAAAATGTACTGTTATTTGCTAAAGATGTGTCAAATAGAGGAAAAATATAAATTGTGTACAAAAAAATCTTTTTCTATTTCACTTTTACATTTCACTTTGACTGAACTATCGCAGAACTGTTTAGTCTCACTTTGATTCATATGAGCTTTTATGAAGGTAATCACTACTCAATTTTAGTTGTGCAACTAAACAGTTGAATTTGCTACGAACTAAGCGACACACACAACGGTCGTGCGATAGTTTAGTCAGAGATTAGCGCCCGCTCTTAACCCTTGTGTACCTAAAATTTGATGGGATTATAAATCGAAATAGACATCGACAATTGAATTTATTTTAATTTAATTTTCAAAATAGAAAACAAAAAGGAGGCTATCACGAAAATGTTGCTATATTTTATTGATTTCTCGACAATAAGTTGGAAGGAAAATATATAAAAATGTCGTCTTGATTTTCTTTACTATTTTCCCCCTTAGTAAAAACAATTAAAATACACTTACCACACATTTTTATAAATTTGATTTTAAAAATTAAGTATCTAGGGTTAATAAAACTATACAATTTTCAGTAGATCTTGTACATAAACATTTGTAAGGAAAGTCCCACACGTGCAGGTAATCAGTGCGGAGTCCTTGTTTGTGTCGTGTTCTTATGGCGTACTCAGAGGTAACAAGCAGGAAACAATAGACGGGTACTGCACTCGTTTTTATAAGACGTTGCACAGTATTCGTACTATAGATAACAAAGCATACAGTGATGTCCTTTTTCGTTTAAAGTATAGATCGAAATTGTAATCGATAGATTTGTTTTTAGATTGATCCATTTTTGTACTGACTATTATAAAAATTAGGTTCGTCATTTAACGTCACATGACCAATCTTACCCGTAATAAATGCAAAAGTGTCGATGGATGGATAGACGGATGTTTGAGTTGGTAGCCTAAACGGTGTAACGACTAATCTCGGTGAAATGTGGTATAGATGTAGAGGATAATCAGGGCAGACCAATTAAGCTACTTACTCTTTTTAATTCCACATGCGAAATCTAGTATTTGTGTATTTTTGAATTCACTATCCGCAGTTGAATAATTCCGCAGTTTAAATTTGTAACTATAAGATTAAACAAAGGAAAAATAATATATGAAAAAGCTATTACGAAACCGAGCGGGTAAAATATTTCAATATTACTTTGAATTTCTGAGAAATAAGGTCGCTTAGAGAATGTAATCTGTGTAGATCGTGTTCCGTATTAAAGATAGTTTCTAAAACTATCTCTCATATTGACAGTTGACAATCTGTTTAATAAAAGTAATAATTTGTACTATTTCCTAGTAATAAATTGACTTCACTATTAAGCACGAGTTCATCCACGAGGAATTAAAATAAACATTTAATATATAGACTATTGATCCTTCCAAACTATGTTTTAAATCTATAGCGAATTTTATTGAGATGTTATAAGCCGTTTCTTTTTCTACAATATTAGCAAGAAGTTAGATTTGTTATCAATTTACCCTAACAATAGTTATCTCTGACGTCACTGTACATATAATGAATGATCAACCTTCCAACCTTACCCTACTCCCCTAGAGGCACCAGGTTTCTGGTTTAAAGTGCTATATAACATTCTAACAACATTTTGAATTTCAGGGTGAAAAGGTTTTATTCCGGTTTAGGTAAATACGAGTAAAAGTATTTCGAATTACTTCGAGTGTTGATGTTACATTAAATTTAAAAACGCTTAAAGCACCCGTTGTCTTTCCATCCGTTGTGAAATTTCAAACGATGTTTAAAAAAAAATAAAGTGCTTACATTGTGTTAAACCATTGTTCTGGTTTGACATTCAAAAGAATTCTATTCAACTATTCTTTTGTCTACATATAAGAAAGAATGGAAAATTTTTGCTTTAAACATAATAGAGAGACTTGTAAGAAGTCAATGTTTTAGTTAATGTGTTTTTTATAGATTTTAAAATATAGTGGATATTATCGCATTCTTCAAATGTTTTCGTCCACCACCATAATGCCCTACATCATCAGCTTACTATACGTCATATCTGAGAGGTTCGGAGCCTACTCTATGCTAGAGTAAACTAGACCATAGTCAACCACGTTGGCCCAATAGTGGTTGGTTCGCTTCACACATATCTTTGAATTTCTTTACAGATATGTATATGCAGGTTGCATCACGATGTTATCTTCTACCTTGAGAACATCGAGTAAATAATGTAAATGTTAAATTCGAAAATCGAAAATATTGGTACATGGTGGGATTCATACCCAAGATCTGTAGTTTACAAGTCTAGGCCTTAACCCCTGAGCCACCGACGCTTCATAACAATCTTGTTATTTAAGGTGATTAAGAAGGAAGACAATGCTTTTGAACAAATTCCCGTACCGACAAAACTTCATTAAACTAAGAATGTATTTTCCATGTTTCATGTAGTTGTGTTAAATGGAAAATCTTTTGAGAATTTTTCACTTTATGCGCCTCATTATTTCATTGTCAATGCCTTAAGAATACAATGCGTAAGTCGCAATACATTTCTTTAATACCGTCAAAAAATCGTATGAACGTATCGTGAGATAGGTTGAAGTATAGTTGCGTAATCGCCTTAACATTTCTGATTATTGTTGTCCTTGTCTCATCAAACAGAACAAAAGAGATGACAACAATGATGTAAATATCAATGGATGTACGGTTGGATAGCAAACTTTTAAAACACTTTAAAATCGCAGAGATTGTGCAACAGCCTTAATAAAAGTTAGCGGCAGTATTGTCTGCGGGTAATGGAATAATACTGTCATTCCCTTTGTTGCGTCGAGATAATGGTCCAACTTTGCCATTTGAGTAGGTAGGACTAGCACTATTCTCCATTTCTAAGCTTCAAGTATTCTTTCCATTTCAAACGTTGAGATTGTTATCTGTTACAATTATGAATCAGAAGTTGCCTCGTTTATTCAAGATATGGCATCCTTATCTTTACAGGTGGTTCTTTTATTTAAACCTTTTACTCTATTTGCGTTTTTCATATTTCTCATGTACTTCCTTTTACGTTTGTCTTTAGAAGTATCCAATTAAATATTTATTTATTATGTAATTAAATATAGTAACTATAGACTTTTTTGTGAATCTGAAATGATTTTGGTGACTATTTGATTGCCCTCTTCTTCAGAAAAATAAAAACTTACATTTGATTTTGTTAGCAATTGGAATATCGTCAATAATATATCGTAAAAGAACTGTTGTGCACAATTTTAATACTACATTCTGACTATATTGGTATTAAAATAGTTACATGATCTAGTTACCGACTGATATCTTCTCTCTCTTATTCTGCTCCCGTAGGGTAGGTGCAACAGGTTTCTGTCTGCAAGATAACTCTATCATGCGTGATCTCTTTCATCACTTCCTTTCTGATAACGCCTTTTACGCAATCAATCATCTCTTTCAGTTACAGAGAGATCTAATTCTAAAGAATGCTGATATACAAAAATATATAGCTCTTTTCTAAAACTGCACAGTATTCTATTTCCGCAAAATCTGATACGCAACGCTGAACAACCAAAAAACAATGTAACCCGCATGGCGCACTCTATTGTCGGAGTGACAAAATGTTCCGTCCACTGAGATATTCCTTGATTGCCTGCGTTCAGTTTTTAGTATCGAACGCAACGTACTAGGCCGACGGAACAATTTACCTTTTAACAAAAATCGTTGACGCTGCAAGAATATTAAGTTGTACATTGGACAAGGATTGACTTTTTAAATCTTTTGTATAGTACAAGCAAACAAAGGATTTAAACTATGTATAAATGTTCATCAATGTACTATTTACATTTGTAGATATGTACTTTCAAACTAAAGTTGAAAAAAAAACTAAAAGCATGTAATACAATTTTAGTTTAAAAAAATTAAACTAGATGGCGTTAATTAAAAAAAATATTTCAATTCGAACAATTAAAATGTTATTAAATCAATCGTGTATTAGCATGTGAAATATTCGCATGTTGGCTATCTTTAAAATATGTGACACAATTTATTACTCTATTTAAATAAAATAACTATCAAAAAAAGTCAATAAATTTCCAGTAATAGTATTTTGTATCGTTCGGCAATTTCGTACGTGTAACAACGGCCATTAGTAAAACAAATGTGCAATAAATTACTGGAAGCGGCTCCGGATATATGTTGATCTGTAAAAGCGTGATGCGCTCCCGTGGATCGGATATGTGATATTGATCAATCAGAACGGCTAACAGTTAATAGATTATATATGTCTATACTAATTGGTTTGCTTTTAATATTGCAATAAATTAGTTAAACCGTATCATACGGTACAGGAATATTAACATAGTTGAAATTTAAGTTCAAATAATTTGGATGTCCTTGATTTTATAACTAAACAGAGAAGCTGAATATGAGAATATCACGGTAGACACAATTTAAAGTCGAGTTATATAATTTGTATCTCTGCCGACCCTATTCTAGTTAACAAAATTTAAGACATAATATGTAGTTAAGAAAATTAATCAAGGAACATTTTTCTGTGTCAAAATAACTGCCGTAAAATTATGTAATACGAAAAAATCTTCACTAACAAATACGCATGTGTGCTGTGTTGTCTAAATTTATCTAAAGTTTACTCATTAGTTTCAGACGGCCATTTAATAGTGATCTTTCAATATCTACTTCCTCAACGACATCTGATTGATAATAGAAGAATAGTATATAGTTTGGGAGGTCAAGATAAATTTGATGATATCACGGTCGTTGAATCCAAGATAAATTGAGTCAACGATATAATACATGATCATATTTGTTATAGTTCAGTAGCTGTTGGTGATTTCTCAAGTGATAATGAGAAAAGACAGTGATGTCCTTATTCTAGTGAAGTGTACAAATTGTTTGTGTGAATACAGACATCAAAATGAGTGAAATTGATTTAGCGGCTTTAGACGATGGTATGTAGTGAATGTTTTTAATACGTTGGTTACAGAGTGTAATTATCTACGAGTACGTTTGTGTTTTAAATTATTCACAAAGTACTAGCCAGATTATTTTCTTTGAATGAAATGTTACGGGGTTTTTTAATGTTTAGTAACCTCTTACGAAATGTCGATGAGAGACTTGATATCTGTCAATAATTTTAATTTTGTAGAACATAAAAATGTGTGCAACATAATTTAAATAATTCAGAAGTATTTGATCATTTATTAATTATATGCATTGCACGTTAAAGCAAATATTATTGAACATTTTTTCAATTTATTTCTGTAACATTTACATAGGTGTTTTAACATTATTGTCACAATTAAGGTGACCCTTATTGAAATAAGTTGCATACTAGTAATCATAATTCAAAATAATATATTAAAAAACCATATTTTATTAAAAATAATAATTGAAACAATAAGTGCCCTTAAATTTTAACTGCACATATCGGCGAAGAAATTAAAAGTTATGTGAAGTTAACCAAGACGCAGTAAGCCAGCAGATCTGACTATGGCTTAGTCACCCCTAAGTTAGAGGCTATGGTCATAGGCTTCGAGCCCCTCTATGGGGACGCATAAGATGGTGATGATAAACTTTAAAGACTATAACATTCTATTTTATATATTCCAGGAAAGGAGCGTCAAGATCCTAAAATACTAACTTCTATGCAAGAAATAGATTTGGCTATAAAAGAATGTGGAATCGGCTGGTTCCATGTGTTACTTATGACGTCATCGTTCGTTGGATTGATAGCTGGTGTTCTTGTGACAAACACAACACCATACATACTGCCAATAGCTGAATGCGATTTAAATATGAATTTAATACAAAAAGGATTATTAAATGCAATGCCATACATAGGTAAGCTTACGTATATGTTCTTTAAGAGATATAATGAGAAGGTACTTCTCTTTGATTATCATTATAACACCCTGATAATCATCATCACCTTGTTTAATCATCATTTCATTTTGTTATTTACATGTTTCATCATCCACTGCGGGTTTACTGTTCTTCAATGCTCTTCATCATACGGTTCTCCGCTTTCTTCATCCATTGTGTCAATCTATCTATCGTCAATTTTGTTAAGATTATTTCATATATCTTTATTTCTTACTCTCTATATAATACATTTTACAAGATTACAAAAATAAAATAAAATATATTATATAAAAAATAGAGCACCACCGGCTGCGGAATCCGATGACTCAAGCAACCAGTGGTCAGGGCTGCAGAGACAGGAACCTCCTCACTAGTCGTGCGGTTTCTAAAATAACCGCCTTTTGAATCGGGCCCTTAATCCAACTGTCTAGCGAGAGCTTCTTGAGGTGTTGGTGGAAGCTCTTCGCTATCAGCCCGTGTACCGAAACTACTATCGGAATAATGGTAGTCGATTTCATACGCCACATGGCGGTAATCTCGTGAGCCAAATCCAAATATTTTAATAGTTTTTCATTTTCGGCTTTCACGAGATTCTCGTCATGTGGGATAGTGACATCGACTAACATTACACAACTCTCAGACCGATCTATTATTACTATATCAGGTCTATTGGCAGCAATAGTCCTGTCCGTAAAAATAGATCGGTCCCAGTAGATCGTGATACGGCTATTTTCCAGAACTGGTGTAGGCTGATATTGGTAATATGGTACCTCAGATTCCACAAGAGCACATTTAAGGGCAAGTTGCTGATGGATAATCTTGGCCACTTGGTAATGTCACTTGTTAAGATTACTATTATTCTTTCCAGGAATGACTATAGTATCAATAGTTGCCGGTTTCTTAACGGATACTTTCGGTAGAAAGATATTTCTGGTGTATGGTTTTGGTGGACTTTTTATATTCACAATTATCGGTGGATCAAGTCAGAGCTATGAGGTTTTGGTTATAACTAAGTTTTTCGAAGGAATTCTGTAAGTCTAATCAATTTTACTAAATCTTAATAGACTTGCGTTTAGTATGGAGCAGGGATTAAAGATGTTTGACGTGGTGGGTTTTTGAAGATAGAAAAATTGTAGATGCTTTTTAGTAGACAATATCTCTCAATATTACGAGGGATCAAAACCAGTATCAGTTTAAATTGTAATCCAGCGCATATTTGTTATATAAAATGTAGCAACTAGAGTTCCTAAAATTTAAAGCCTTAACATATCCGCAGCATTAGTTTTATAAAGTACGACTTTAACTTTAACAGAATCCGCTTAGGTATTCATATTACTTTCTACAAAGGCTTTATCGACATTTTTCAGATTTGCTATATCGTTTAGTCCGACTTTGACAATAACATCGGAATTTTGCTACAAAGAGATCAGAGATCGAGTGGTGCTGTTCAGATCTTCTTTTACGGCTTTTGCTCAGATACTTGTTGCTGCGATGTCTTGGGGAATACTTACACACGATTGGAAATACAGCTTGTTCAATGGATATATCGGTATGGATAAAAATATATTTTATAGTATACGAAACTTCTAAACAGATCATTATTAAAGTTTGAATATTCGTTCAAAATTACCATACCTTGGACCAAACTATCGCACAACTGTTCAGTCTCGCTTTGATTCTTATGAGCGTATATGAATACTACTCGATTTTCAGCGGTGCAATAAACAGTTGAATTAGCGGCGAAACAATCGACAATCGCACAACAGTTTTGTGTTACTTTTTTCCAAGGGTAGCTTTCGTCCGTGATTTCGTCCGCGAAGAATTAAACAAAAGAACAAAAGTGAAATAGGCTATGTGTTCTTCCAGATTATCATCTACATCTATGCGAATTTCATAAAAATCGGTTTAGCCGTCTAGGCTACAAACTCTAACAAACACAACGTTCGCATTTATAACATTTGCGGCCGCTCTAAATGTTGTGTTTCTTAAAAAAAAATCAATGAAACACAAACGACAAACACAATGGAAAATGTTATCTTGTTCCAATTTCAGAACTTCATGTATGGAATTTCTATATCTACCTGATGTCTCTATGGGCGTTTTTTTCGTTCGTGCTGTACGCCATTTTACCAGAAAGTCCCAGATTTTACTTAACTCAAAAGAAGTATAATGAAGCGAGAAAAGTACTAATTAAAATGTATACAATGAACACGGGAAAATCTGCTGAAACATACAAGGTAAGATATTAGGGTGTTGTTTTTTAGTTTACGCATAGTCTTCATTTTTCTTTCGCTTAGTTGGAGAAATTAAATTTCACAAGTCCAAACCTACGGACTATAATGTACACGTGGAAAATATCAGATATATTTTACAGAGCTTACTTAACTCGTGTTGATCCGTGGTGTGATTTTTTTTTTCAGTACATCGATTTATGGAAAGACAAAGAAAAAGAAATAATAGACGAGGAGCCTGAGAGAAAAATAATGGCCAGTTTCAAACATCAATTGATTACTGGACTTCTTAACGTGAAGCCAATGTTAAGAAAGCCATTGCTTGGATACCTGCTATTGATATCTGGTTTGAATTTCTTAAGCATGGCTCTGTGAGTACAATTAACTATTTTTATAACACTATACTGTCTAAATATTCTCTATTGAAGTCAGAAGAACCAGGAGACATCACCTTGACTTCGTTATTTTTTACATTGTCGGAAAACTAGTGTTTTTTTGTGACTTTTCAAACCATAGCTCTTTTGTAATCGTTTTTTCTGTATTTAAATATTATATGTCATGAATTATGCTACCTTTTCAAAGTAAATTATCTCATGTAAAGATACGTTTCTTATGAAATTAATTACATAAAACATACAATTATTTGAACGCTGATAATTTCTTATCGCATGTAAATATTTTCGCTAGTTTTGACACAATTGTAATAAAGATGAAATCTTTTTCTCGTTTTTAATAAAACATCTTTGCAAATGTTATATTAATTTATTTAACATTCAACTAAAATTATTTGCTTCAGTTTTAGTCGTTGTTGAAACAAATTTCTTGGAATTCGCACGAATCATAATTTTATTATTTTCTTCCGATTAAAAAGACGTAAGAGAAATGCTTTTGCCGCATAAATTATAACACAAATATGTTATAATGTAATTAAAAATAAATATACGGTTTTGTGAACAAATTTTTAATGTAAATATTCATTACACTTACAATTCACGCGAAACCCGTAACGATTATAAAACCCCAAAATAAATTCTATTATTCAATGAAAATACATTTATGATATGCTTATTTAAGCTTTTTCCCCAATTATAATTACACTAGTTGTTCCCGTGCGACTTCACCCGTATAAAATTTTTATTTTATTGTTTACATGTGTCAAATTATCAATAGCAAATGTCAAAACGACATAACGATGACAAACCATGGCAACCTTGCTTCCTTGATGTTGGCAGTAACTTATGCTCTCTTTCCCACATTAGGGTTTTTATCCAAAATATTTACTCCCTAAGTTTAATGGCGTGAAATATTATAGCCTATAGCATGACGTAAGTGTAGGGCTTTTTATTAAAAAATGCTGTAATTACTGACATCTTAGCCAACAAAGAAGTGTGTATTTACGCTTTATTATAATAGTACAATATAGATTAAAAAACTTTTTTCCAGATACAACGTAATAAGACTGTGGTTTCCGCAGTTATCGACTATTGTGGAACATTATAGTAATATCGATGGTGAGAACGATTTATGCGGTATGCTGGATTCCTATACACATGATTTGAAAATGAGGAGTGGTAATACTTCTTTGTCTGATGTCTGTGTGCCGGTGAGTACATATTTTACTCAACGTTCCTTAGTACACCTTGTCGGACTAGCTTCCAAGAGTGGTTCTGTGGGACTTAGGACAAGGAAAGTCAATCATACTAATATTATAAATGCGAAAGTTTAGATGGATTGATGGATGGACGGATGTTTGTAAGAGTTTGTAGCCTAAACGGCTGAACGGATTTTGATGAAATTTGGCATATGCGTAGATGATAGTCTGGAAGAACACATAGGCTACTTAGTTTTGTTTTTTTAAATCCACGCAGACGGAGTCGCGGGCGAAAGCTAGTCCCTAATAATTGGGAAAGAAAGCATAGACAAAAAAAATCAATGATTTATTATTTTAAACTGTCGTGATTTTTACAACTATTATGTTTTTTAGATACGGGTCTCTTACCACAATTGGGTTGTTTTAGCTCCCGATATTTCGGCATAGTTGCATACGCCATGTTCATGTGCTGACATTTAGCTAAGTTATTAAGCTATATAAAACAACCCAATCTTGGTAAGAAACCAGTATTTTACAAACATTTTAAAGTTCTTTAGTATTAAGCAAGAAGATAATATTATAACTATGTAAATGTCTTGAGAAAGGTTATTTGAAGACGACATTGCGCAGATTTTCACCGCTAATATGCTCTTACCTTATGTAAAATTATCTGCAAATTTATTTCTAATGCTTATTTAATTTGTGTATATTCGAATAAAATAACAAAAAGCCTTCAGAAAGAATGTGTAATATTGAAAGTACTCGTAGAACGTTTGATTTGCAGACGAAAGTATTTGAATTCGCGTGCTCTTAAGCCATTATAGAAAATACGTTGCTTAAGACTGCCTACTTGTGGTAATAAATAAAACCAACTAGCGTGTACCTTATTGTTATATATTTGACTGTTCTCTGCTCATTATGTACAAGACTTTATTAATGCTATGCTTACGAATAAATTACCAAGTCATTTGATTGAATTCATATAATTAACCAAATGTCGAGTAACAAAAATGAAATTGTATATTAATTTAGATTTACAAGAATAGGTATAGTTTTTTTTATAGTTTTTAAGTATAATGACGCTTTTTAAATTCATAAAACACAAGTAAGCGACATAGAGAACGAAAAATGCTCGCGCTGTGAAAATCGACACGAAAAATGTAAATTTTAATTCGTGTTAAACGTTGCATGTTTTTAATCATTTGAATTTAATTTAAATTTTGTAACATGTGATAAATTTAATTACCTTTATTAAAAATTAACTGTTACAGAAAACCTTCATTTTTATTTATTAATGTCAACTTCACATCGTGTGTAAATCGTAGTATTCAGTAGAAGTTGTTGTAAAAACTCAAAGTAAACATTGTTAGGTCCTACAAACTACGTTAATAACAGATCGAATACTGAATTGACAATTCTTTTAAAACATTTTATTTAAATATGTAACATCGTTTAAAAGATAAGGCCACGTAAACTCCAGATTCCATCAACATTTTGAAGTCTGTCTGATTGTAAGCATTTACTAAGCCAAGTGTTTGAGTTTCGATTGATAGATTTTGAATTTTGTTGAAAACATATATGCGTTTTTAACATAATTTCAAATAAATGTGATAGTTCAAACCTATCTACATCTTTTGATATTATATAAAAGTTCACTCAGTGTTTGAAGTTGTGTTTTCTGTTTATTTTTACAGCGTCAGACGACGTGATACTGTCTGCACTGTAATATCATTAAGGTGTCTATTAACGTGGTAGCAGAAATAAATGAAGCAAGGGTTGCAAGTTTATGAAATAAGTTTTCATTTCTTTTGCAACGAAATAACATTTTTAATAGCAATATTATTGGAAAAGCAACTTTTATACTTCATTTAAAACTCAACTTTTAAAAGTAATATAAAACATTAGTAATAAAAATCAAAGCGAAAAAAGTTGAAATTGAAGTATAACATTGAAATACAGAGATTCTAGGACATGAGAAGATGAAAAGTGCGCATAGTGAAAGTTTCTAACTACTATAAACACACTATGTGTGTATACAACTATCCACGTGATGCGGACGCGGCAATATTGCGAAAAAACCGGTGCAAGCCGGTATAAAGCTTTGTTACTGGTAGCATCTCTGTGATTCTAGTAAACGATTTCAGCAAGTTACTGCGGCCGTATACCTTTGACTAAACTATCGCGCATGTATTGTGCGATTGTCAATTGTTTCGCAGCCAATTCAACTGTTTAGTTACACAACTAAAACGAGTAGTGTGCGCACTTCCATATAAGCTTATAGGAATCAAAGTGACACTAAGCAGTTGTGCGATATTTTAGTTTCAGGTGTGCACAGGCTCTTTTTTAATTTCCGACAGAATATGTGAAGGTGATTTAAACTAATAAATGTATTGAAATGTATAATTTTGTTTATTTTCAGACTCGCAGTGGCAACGAAACATATGTTAATAGTATTATCTTAGGCTGTGTTTGCATTATACCGTTTGCGTTAAGCGGTATTCTAGTAAACAAAGTTGGTAAGAAGAATTTGTACGTGGCAGCAGGATTTATATGCGTTTGTATAACTTTAGCAATAAGATGGGCTGACTCCAAAGTTGCGGTGGTCGCACTGTTCTCCGTCGATACCGCGATATCGCAAACTATGATTGGTTTATTTCAGGCGTTAACCCTTGAATTGTTTCCAACAACAATAAGGTATGTTTTTAGTATTTTCGTTTAAATACTTATTGTTTTTTTTCGTTACTGTAATATTACAGTTATCAACTTGCATAATAATGCTGACTTACCATTCATCGTCATTAATTCAAACTTATACATGATGCTTGATTTGTATGCTCTTAATTGTAAATAATACGGTAGGTTTATTTTTTAAAATCAATTTCATTGCAGGAAGTGTATACTAATATTATAAAGAGGAAAAATTTGCAATTATGGGTTTTATTATTATTGGAATAATTCAAAAACTACTGTTTTAAAAAAATATTTAACCATTAAAAAACTATATTATCACTGAGTAACATAGACTATATTGTTACTATTTTTTTTAATTTAACGCGGACTAAGTCGCGAGCGATAGCTAATTAACTAATATGCCTTTTTGTTTGTTGACAGAACTCTTGCTATCTCCGTTATCATGACTTTTGGTAGAATTGGTACTCTTGTGGGCAATGTGGCATTCCCAGTCCTGCTCAATATGGGATGTGTTGTACCATTTTATTCGCTTACAGGTGTTATGATATGTAAGTAAAAATTATATGTAAATTACATAACATTTTACTAATATTATAAATGCGAATGTTTGGATGGATGTTTGTTCGAATTTTGTAGCCCAAACAACTGAACTGATCTGGATGAAATTCGGCACAATTATAGAATATAGTTTGAGAAAACACATAGGCTATTTACAAAGTTTTTTTTTTAATTCTGCGTGAGCGGAATCACAGGCAAAAGGTAGTAACAATATAAATTTAAATTGAATATAAAAACAATAAAAAAGTTGACTAAACACTTTTTATGAAATGTAATGGTTTTATTTGGATCGTTGGATTTAAGACCATCTAAATATTTTTTTTTACCATTACTCGACCAAAATAAGTAATAAACAAGAGAATATATTTAACAAATAAGTACTGAAAACATATTAACATTACTTTTCAATACGAAGCACTGAAAATTACATATTCAATTTAAAAATGAATTAATTCGAAATGATACAGTATTTTTTAAAACATGTTATAAAAGAATTCATTAACGAATTACATATTTAAATACGAGATAAATCTCAATAGGAATATGAGAAGTTCAAAATTATTTTAAATAAAATGAAGCATTAAACCAACTTTCTGCTTAATGTAACTTCTGAAATTTTCATTTAGGTTTTGGTATAAAATATATTATTTTTTTTAACATAAGTTTAATTAAGCATTTGACTGCGATCAAACCTAAGACATGGGAAACTAAACAGCAAAATACCACTTAGTTATGTAGTGTTAACTTTCCACTTTGATAAATGAAAATATGAATTAATCTATATACTAATAATAAAGAGGAAAGATTTGTATTTTTGTATGTATTGAAATAAATCAAAAATTAATGGGCCGATTACAAAAATTCTTTTACTTTTAGAAATCTACATTAGCGCTGAGTAACAGGCTATATTTTTAAATTTCACGTTGCTGATCTTACGAGCAATAGATAGTGTTAGATAAACTGACTCATCCGACCAAAAGAATAACATTTATTTAAAAATCCTTTAAAAGATACAACTCTTTTCGTCCAATAGGTTGAAATAACAAGACACTACAGTATTATATAACTTTAAACTGTCGTGGTTTTTACAAATGTAATGTTCGTAAGATACGGGTTTCTTACCATGATTGAATTGTTTTAGCTCCCGATATTTCGGCACAGTTGCATGCGCCATGTTCACGGGCTGACTGAAATATTGGGAGCTAAAAAAATTCAATCGTGGTAAGAAACCCGTATCTGACGAACATTACACTACAGTATTTTTAACTATTTGATAACTTTTCTTTTCAGGTGTAACGGTGATGGCGCTGTTTTTACCGAAATCATGACGAAAGGAAAAATTTTATTAACTAAATTGTGATATATAAATAAGGTTTATTATATCTGTGTTTTAATTACATTAAAAAACTAAATCTTGCCTTTTGTTTCCCTAGTACCTTTCACAATTGTCATAATGTTTAAAGAATGCGTAAAATAGACAAAATTATTTGTTACCATATTTTCTAATGAATTTAACATGGTGTGTATACTTAATTTACGTAATATGTAGAAATTTGATGTATCCAAATGAAGTAAAAATATTTAGTGAAGATGTATATAAACTAGAAAAATGGATTATCTAAAAATAAACGTCATCAGTCCAGAAACGCAGTAATAAACTATAGAATACCACAGGGTAGTGTAACAGGTCCAGTAGTATTGTCATATTCTGTAAGTATCTGTATTACCTTCTTAAAAATACACGTAAAAGAATTATGCCGACTAAAAATATTTTATTAGGCATATTTTACTTAGACTAAACTAAACTTAAAAATCAAAGGTAACAAACTAACTGTGCAATAGATAGAAGTCAAGTAGAACTTGAGTACTGCATTCCTGTGAATAGTCACTTAGTATTATGGAACTAAAATGTTTCTATTTACCTTAATATTCCAATTAAATTAACAACCAAAATTATTAAGGGCCTGTCCCACCACTTAAAAATACTTAAAAAACTTAAAAACTCGTCACTGTCAGATAAGGGAACAAAATCTGATATTTCCATCAGATATTTTACACGTTGATTATCAGACAATTTACAATTTAGCGGGACAGGCCCTTAAATTTGTAAACTGGAATCCATTAACCTCCAACTGAATCATTGCAGTAAAAATACTATACAGAGTACAGTTAACAGGATATTATATAAAACCTATTGCAAAAGAGTCAATTAATCTTATGAAAAGTTTGTTAATATTTTGCAATAGCCATCATCGCCTAAATTCTCATATATCTCACATTTATCTAAGGCTTACTCGTTGTCATGCGCAAACCAACTTACAAAGACCTGTGCGCTATAAATACATTCTTCATTGATGTATCAAATATGAATAGATAAAAAGGTCCACGTATATTTGCTTGAATAATTGTTGTTTCATCCGCTATAAATTTACTTAACGATATATTACATGATCATATTTAATATAATTCAGTAGTTGCTGGTGATTCTTAAGTGATATTGAGTGAAGATGAAAATATTGGATTAAATAAAACAAAAATGACTGTACTTGATATAATTGAAGTAGACGACAATGGTACGTAAAATCCGCATTTAATTTGGTTTAGTACACTCATAGGATATAAAATGACTAACCATTGTAATATGTCTATTTGTTTTCTGTTTATAGCGAATAAGTGTTTATCTCGAATTGTTTCAGCTAAATGTATTTGTTGCAGATTTCAGTATAAAACAAAATTATTTTTCTAGTGTGTCTGAATTGAACAAGTCATTATTTTATTATATAATAAATCATCAACTTGCCCTTATCCCTTACGGAAGATCGGCACAGTATGTGCTGCTCTTGCATACATCTCTATCAGCCGTCATATCTAAATCTACTCCTTTCTTAAGCATATTCTCTTTCATACCATCCATACTTTCTTCGGTCTTCCTCTTTCTTTGTAGCCAACCACATTTATTCTTAACACTTTCTGGTTTATGTCGCCTTCGCGCATAATATGTCCATACCACGTTAACCTTTTGCTTCTCAATTTCTCTACCACCGGCGTTACTTTCAAACTTCCTCTAATATATGTTATTTATTATGTAATAAAGATTTATAGACATGTAGAAATTAATAAATTAGTTGTATGAAATAGTTGTTTTGTTACAACCTTTTGTATTGGCGATTTTCCTTATAAATGCAGACTGAAAGCATTTTAAATCAGTATCGGTACATCTATTGACTAACTCTTTGATATATTATTACCATTTTTCCATAATCATGTCAGAGCGATCGACATTTATAGGTTCGATTCTTGCATAATACTGGCATTACATTTATTTTGCCTGGATTTTTTATGCAACTCCAACGAATAGGATAGAAAGGGAACGTGGAATTGACGGTGGAGTAGATGCATAGGAAGGGGAAATATCTTCTTTATGTGCGTCTTCTCCTCCGTTGATTAGTGGTAGGCAACACATTCGCTATTGCGAATGTCTATGGACAGCGGTTGCTTAGCCATTTTAGCGGATTCAGGTGGCTACTTGCTCGTTTGCCACCTTATGTTATAAATAAAAAAAAATCATACAGACGAATTATCTTTCATGTCCGCACTCCCAATGGCACAATTCCATACGTTATTCACTAATTTTGTTTTTTTTTTGCAGAAAATCGTCAAGATACACTTACATCTATGCAAGAAGTTGATTTAGCTCTCAAAGAATGTGGATTTGGCTGGTTTCATGTATTATTACTGACGTCATCAATCATCGGTTTGATCGCAGGAATCCTAGTGACAAATACAACTCCTTACATATTACCGATAGCAGAATGTGATTTAAACATGAATTTATTACAAAAGGGATTATTAAATGCAATGCCATACATAGGTAAGTGTAATATTGTATTGGCATTTTATCATCTTAAAAGAAACAGTACAAATGGAAAATTTATTTTTAGGAATGACCCTGGTATCAATTTTGGTTGGTTTCTTAACCGATACGTTTGGCCGGAAAATATTTCTCGTCTCCGGTTTCTGTGGCCTCTTCCTTTTTACTGTTGTTGGTGGATCCAGTCAAAGCTATGAGGTTTTGATTACTGCGAAATTCTTCGAAGGAATACTGTAAGTTTGTTTTTTATGTTACTGCATAACTAACTAGCTGTTCCCGTGAAACTTCATCCGCATGAAATTATGAACAATTTATTTTGTTGTTTACATCTGTGAAATTATCAATTGAAAATATCAAAATGACATGACATGATGACAATCTTGCTTCCTTGATATTGGAAGCAACTTATGGTCTCTTTCGTACATTAGGATTTTGTCCAAAATATTTACCCCCTAAGTTTAATGGCGTGAAAATATATAGCCTAAAGCGTGACGTAAGTGTAGGGTTTTTTATTAAAAGAAGAACTATTCAAAAATATGCTGTATCTTAGGCAACAATGAAGTGTCTGTTTACGCTTCATTATAATAGTACAGATAATATTAATTTCACAAATTTGGAAGTGGATGCAAAATACATTAAATGTCCTGATGTCATGGTTAGACAATCGTTTTTTCATTCAAATTTAATCAACTTATTAACGCTTGTCATTTCTGAGAAAATTGGTAACTAGTAAGCATCTATTTATTATTAATCATTGTTATATAAATGACTTTGTTGCAACGCGTTATTTTCATTTACGTCAGGAATATTCTACAAAATACACTTAAAGCAAAGTATTCTCAAAAAAAAAAAAACAATACACTAAAAAGTAACGAAATAATTCCTTGAAAATAGTAATCCTCCCTTATTGTAGCTGTTATGTCTATATTCTACAAATTATTATTACTTTGATGTCGGTGTCAGCCGAGGTCTGCAATGATATTTCTACGTAAGGATTTCTACATTTTTACCATAACAATTGACAATTGAAAGTATAGTAACGTTTAAGTAATGAATCTACATTGACTGACAACCTGCAAGCATTACCTTTCAGATAAAACATAATTATCAAAATAGGTCCGCTAGTGGCGGAGTTATGCCGTAACATACATAAGAAAAAATATGCAGACGAATTGAGTACATACTTCTTTTGGGAAGTCGGTCAAAAACATTGCAAACTGTAATTTAACTATAAAATTAACTAGAATATATGTGTGTAGTTTATTAGCTAATCTGCATTCTCTAAAGCTATATTCCTATATATTCTCGAGAAAATTTCTCATTTAAATATTAAAGCATCAATATACACAATGTTGCAGCAAATTGATATTTGATTTTCTTATACGCTAACGTTAGATACATAGCAAACAGCAGCAATGGTTTATCAATTTCCTCATCCATAAATAATGTTTAGCAATTATCTTAATTATCTTTTGTATTTACATAACGTTTCACGTGTACATCGTACCATAGTTAAAAATTACGGCATACAAATAGTACACATTGTCTTTGATATATACTTTAAGTAATTTATCTATTGCATGCAAAGAGATTCAAAAAAATATAGAATAGGCTTTTATAGAGACATTTTTCACATGATCTCACTAACGTTATTTGGTGAGTCTCGAAACCACACGTCAATATGATTAATTGAATTTAATTTTCAATAAGTGTCATTAATCAATATTAAAATGTTTATATTTTTACTAGCTTTCTAAAGCTAAATGCAAGTAATCAATGTATTCTTCCAGACTATCCTCTACATCTATGACAAATTTCACCAAAATCCGTTCAGACGTTTAGACTACAAACTCTAACAAACATCCATCCATATAAACATTCGCATTTATAATATTAGTATGACCTGATTTGTAAAAGATGGAGCTTGTTACAATTTTGTTAAATGCCAATAAACGGTCACTTGGTGTTCTAAACTTGTCAACTGATATATTACCTGTCAGAGATATTACCGGCGGAAAATGTTGTTTGCTATGCCTAATAAATGTATTTTTTTTATGTTTTTGATTGAATTTTATAGTATTTTTTGTGTCCATTTATATGTTTTATAACTACCTATATCATATTGGATTATCCAGGTCTAAAGATACTACAATGTGTGTCAACGGAATCAAAGGGATTAGCTTCATTTCCCTTCCAGTTTATCTCTTTATCCATTTATTGTGCAAATGTTTACGACGGTCCATCTAATCAATAGGGACGTGGTACTTACGTGCGCGTATTACGTGCAACGAGACGCCAGCTAGACTGAAAATTGTCATGTTATGTAGATTATCCTTTGATTTATATCCGAGTACAAACGGATATTTTCAATGTATAGCTTATCCGATACGAATTTAATGAGGTGAATTCACTATTTTAATAACATTTTTTGCTCCAACAATTTTTATTGCACAACCACCTAGCTGTTTGGATGCAAATTTTAAAATTAACAAACTGTTGAATTTATTTCAAAGGGATAAAGAGCGCGCGCACAACTTTGACTAGACTATCGCACACCTGTTTAGTCGCGTGAGCTTAATGGGTGCACACGCTACTCGATTTTTAATTGTGCAACTAAACAGTTGCATTAGCTGTGAAACATTCCACAATAGCACAACATTAGTGCGATAGTCAAAGATATGCACCCGCTCTAAAAATACATCCACAAACCACATTACACAAAATCGTACGTTCCCTGAACGCTTGGATTAAGGTTATCACTTATTTCACTAATAATATTCAAAACCGAGCCAACTATGGGAATTAAAATTAACGCAGCGTTCAATCGGAAAGGATTAATGAAACGAAAGCTTTGTTTGCATATCCATGGGTTAATGCCTATCTGTGCAAATGCTCATAAGCTCTGCGTTGCAGTTCTAGTAATTCTGTCGACCGAGCGACTAAATATTTACCTGGCAAGTATTAATCGACGTTCAATTTTTTTATATAAATGTAGTTAGTTTTTTTTACTTGATATTGTTAATGTGCAGTTATTCTTTTACTTATTTTTCAAAAAATTACTAGATGTATTCGAGTACATGAATGGATGGATGGATGTTACTACATATCACCAGAAAATACTTTTGAAAAACACAGTCTAGTAATTAGGTTTTTTTAACAGTAATCGCGATCGTCAGCTGATATTTAAATCATTTATTGTCATTTGTTTAAAGGTTTTAGACTGTTAAAGTATGATTCAAATTGTTTCAGATTCGCAATGTCTTTTGGCCCAAATTTGACGATGACTTCGGAGTTCTGCTACAAGGAGATTAGAGATAGAGTGATATTGTTCAGATCTTCCTTCAAAGCGTTTGCTCAGATAATAGTCGCTGCGATGTCTTGGGGCATTCTCTCACATGATTGGAATTTATCTTTATTCAATGGGTATATAGGTTTGTATTATTTTTACTACATTATGTGAAGATATTATAGATGGATTAAATTAGAGAATATGTTTAAGAAGGGAGTAAATTCAGATATGATGGCTGATAGAGATGTTTGGAGCAGTGCATATTATGCCGACCATTCGGACAAGTGCAAGCCGATGATGAGTGGCTTTATATTCCTTACAATGTAATTACAACTTTCTTTTACTAATAAACTGAATTACAATATGCTTCGAAAGTATTCATTTGTTACTAGAAGATGTCTAAGTTTTTAGAATTTCCACAAGTACAGTATTTATTGTAAGTTTTAAAATATCTATTACAGATCTTCATATTTGGAATTTTTACATTTATTTAATGTCTCTCTGGTCTTTGCTTTCATTCGTTCTGTACATCGTTTTACCTGAAAGCCCAAAGTTTTATATAACCCAAAATAAGTATACAGAAGCAAGACACGTTTTACTTAAAGTATATAAGATGAATACAGGAAAACCCGCTGAAACTTTTAAGGTAAGAAATTTAAGCTATTCAGTATAAAAATTTGAACAACATTCGTTTATTTTATCTCCTCTTATTAATATACAAAGCAAACATATTTATATACTCCTTTATATCAACATTTTTAACATACTTTCATCGTTTTCTCTAACGTGGGGATTAGTGAATTCATCGAAACAACATGATGATGTGGTCAGCCTAAATTATTCAGGTCCACTCAACTATGTCCTTACTGACTTCGTCACGTAACTTGGAACTCTCTTTGATATTAAAAAAAATACTCCGATCATTTAATCAAGCCTAGGATATATTTATGCTAATATTATAAAGAGGAAAGATTTGTATTTTTGTATATATTGAAATAACTCGAAAAGTACTGGGCCGATTTATAAAAATCTTTCACCATTTAAAAGCTACGTTACCAGTGAGTAACATTGGCTATATTTTTTATTATTTTCTTTCACGCGAGCGAAGCCGCAAACAACAGCTAGTTAGCTATAAAATACGGCTTAATTAACGTGAAAAAAATTAGTTAATATTCTTAAGATTTTCGTCACAATAGTAGATAAAAATGTCGTAATTTATCGTATGAAATAAATATTTGATATTCGTAATTTGAACTATCATGTCTTTAATACTTCCATGTCTATCGTAATTGTAGCTAGATTGTAATAGAGTTCGCGTTTAGAATTCTTGTCTTTATCAATCTCTTTCCATTCCCGTAGTTTAATATATAAACCGCTTACATAATTCAGAGCACGACGTCGCCGATCGTATTTAGAAGAACTTGCGACATAAAATACCACATTATTTATGTACGTTGTCACAAAAGGCTTTGCGAAAGGTCAAATGAAGGGATGTAGAAAAATATTCCTATAAGATTCTTTTATACCCGATGCTGTGACGCTTTGATATTATATTTTTCGTAGTACCAGAAATGCACGTCGTTATATGAATTATTTTTAATAATGTTAAGAATAAAAACATTTGAGAATATTGAGTTAACATTGATTATTTTACAGTATTTCAACTTATGGAAGAATAAAGAAAAAGAATTTATAGACGAAGAGCCAATAAGAAAAGAAGAGATCAGTTTTACGCAACAATTGGTTACTGGACTTCATAACGTAAAGCCTATGTTCCAAAGGCCACTGGTTGGTTATCTTATTCTCATATCTGGTATGAACTTCCTAAGTTTAGGATTGTAAGTATTTTTATATATTACTAATATTATACGAAAATTTAGATGGATGGATGTTTATAACAGTTTGTAGCCTAAACAGCTAAACGGATCTCGTTTTTGACATAAATGAAGAGCATAGTCTAAAAGAACGTATAGGCTTATACTTTTGTATTTTTAATAACATGTGGACAGAGTAGCGGGCGAAAGCTAGTACCTTAATATAGTTTACGACATGAAATACTACATTTTAAATAATAATATCGTAGAATTAAAAGTATTACGAAATATTTGCAGTTAAAGAACCTCGTCATGATGTGTTTTCATTTTCACTTATCGATGCCTATTATTACAATAAATAACGCATGTAATATGATAATACAAGGTTCATTGATGAAAATTTAAATGAAATTTTCGAAATCCTTTGCACGAATTTTCGGCTCCAATGAATTCAATTATACAGTTCATTCGACTTTATACAATGTTACACGAATATTTAACAGTACATTATCATTTATACAAAATTATAATAAAAAATCTTTCCAGCTACAACATAATAAGGCTGTGGTTCCCGCAATTGTCAACAATCGTCGAACATTACAGTTTTGACGGTGATAATGATTTATGTGATATATTGGACTCTTATACAAATAATTTGAATGTGAAAACCGCAAATGCAACATTATCTGAAGTTTGTGTACCCGTAAGTAAAGGATTTTATATTCGTTTTAAGTAACAGCGTTTCTTGAACTGCATTCATACATAATGCATGATTAGTTGAGACAGTAAATTGCTTCTCAATTCAGAGGGAATTTACCGTAGTATAATAAAATAGTTCATTCAATGTACAGTCGCGGAGATCCGCGGTGTCCATTTCAGGAAAAATTGCCTTGTTTACGGCAACGTAACAAACGCCGCCGGTTCCTTCAAATAAGTAATTACCAGTATATGCAAACGAAGGGGTGATAATAAAAAGAAACTATCCGTGTATTGCTGTTTTTTGTAGACAGATTTATAAGCTGCGTTATATTTTATTTTGGTTCCGCATCTCTTTTCGAATAGTTCAAACGATTGTAGCTTTAAAGGTAGAACACCGCCAGTTTCCCTGATTGTACATAGTATTTTTAAATTGTTGTATAAGCACTCTACAGATTCATTGACATTTCTGCTTAAGTCTTTTTGTTATGGCATCTTTTATATTAAATAAAATTGTAACGATAGATTGATTCTTTTTTTTCAGACTCGCAGTGGTGATGAAACATATATAAACAGTATAATTTTAGGCTGTGTTTGCATTATCCCGTTTGCAATAAGTGGTATATTAGTGAACAAAGTTGGTAAGAAGAATTTATTCATAGCCGCTGGCCTGATTTGTGTTGGTGTTACCCTGGGTATAAGATGGGCGAACTCGAAATTAGCTGTGGTCGCATTGTTTTCGGTAGATGTCGCTGTGTTACAAACTATGACTGGTTTATTCCAAGCTTCAACAGTTGAAGTGTTTCCAACAAGAATGAGGTAATAATTGTTATATTAAAAAAACTATGAAAATGTAGCCTATGTTACTCAGTGATAACGTAGCTTTTTAATGGTGTAAAAATCTTTGAAATCAATATTAGACCAGTAGTTTTCGAGTTATTTCGATATATACAAAAAAAATACAAATTTCTCTTTATAAAATTTGTATATAATACTATACTATATAATACTAGTCCCAATTAAGTTTAAAATAAGGAAGTCTCAACTTATCTTTAGAGGTTGACAATACTTGTCATACACGTGTTCATAAATATTTCATTAAAAAAAATGTTGAAAAATTACCTTGACCTTCCTCCATTCTGTTGAAACCCATTTATGATGTCGAGTGAATCTAATATTAGAAACTTTATTTCTGCTTGACGTCGACATAAAATTTCTACTAACGTATAAGATATTTGTATTTCATTAAAATGTCTCAAAGAACGAAAGACTTTTCAAACAATCATACATTTTTAAGATACCACTTGTCTTTCTTTTATTTTCTTCAATCAAAGAAACTGAAGGAAATAACGCGCTTTCTTTTGTTTGTTATAAATTTTTAATTCCTAATCTTTTGTGATTATAAAAATACTACTAATGAGTAACTATTTTCACAGAACTCTTGCGATCTCCGTTATTATGACTTTGGGACGTATCGGTACGCTTGTGGGTAATGTGGCGTTCCCAATACTACTCGACATGGGTTGTGTTGTACCTTTCTACTCATTAACTATTGTTATGATATGTAAGTAAATTCTATTCTTATTTTTTATACAAGTACAGACATACCTTTGACTAAACTATCGCACAACTATTTAGTTGTATTTGATCCTTATGGGCTTATGGAGGTACGTACAATACTCGATTTAGTTGTGCAAGTAAACAGTTGAATTGGATTCGAAACAATCGACAACCGCACGACAGTTGTGCGATAGTTTAGTCAAAGGTGTACGCCTGCTCTAAATCATCATACAAACAAGACAGCATGTACATTTTTTTAATAAAATGTTTTCATTTCTAGGTGTAACAGTGATGGCCTTGTTTCTTCCGAAATCATAAGAAACTAATTTGATGACATCTACACTTGTTATGTTAAGAAACAAAGCAAATATATTTATCCAATTCAAAGCAAAGTTAGAAGACTATACGCATTTATTAATCACTGATTTGTATAAATGGACCGGTTATTCCATTAAAATGAAAGCTTTTGCTTCGGATTTAAACTCGTCTGTTGATGTTAATAACAGTTAATTTTCTATATGTTGTTAGTACCAATTCTCACCGCCATTGACCGCGACAGTCAGAGCCAAATGTACAAAATATCATGTGCTACATCCTGTCCTTTTGCATAGGTTATTGGTCAAAATACAAGAAAAATAACATTTAATATTAATTATTTATCTGTTTAGTCCTTTTTCAACTAGTTTAAGATGAATTACTTGCTTTGAATTGCTTTATTATTAAGAAGAATTGACATTAATATTTATTCCTTTCAATAACCCGTAATGTTTGATAGACGGCATTATGGCCCGCATGTTAAAGGAAACGCTGGTGTTGACATCGAACGGTACAAGCTTCTTATAGTGAGAAGGGTTGAGGCTTACGGATATTTATCTTTCACGTGTTGTGTTTGATGTATTTCAACCAATTGTAAATAACAAAACGAACGAAATAAACGATTAAAAGCAAGTTTGTAATTTACTTTAGCACTATTTAAAAGAAAAAAAATAAAAAAACATACAGACGAATTGAGTATTTCCTTCTTTTGGGAAATCAGTCAAAAATAGTTTAATGTTCAACTAATTAACACATTGTACCCATTTGCAATAGAAGCTAAGAGAGAAAATCTTTTTCTAAAGGGCTGTCCCACCACTGGCTGATAGAGGCTCATATAGCTCAAAAATGATATCACCGTCAGATAAGGTTACAAAATCCGATATTTCCATCACATATTTTACACGATGTTATCAGACAATTTACAATTTGGTGGTACAGGCCATAAGTGTTACAATATTAATATGAGGTCTTATTTATATAGTTTGAAAGTGAATTTTTATAAATACATTTTTTATACATCAAAAACTATGATTGAATTAATAAAAGTAATAAAAAAGGGGGGCGTTAATGATAATTATGAATGTTTATTTTTATTAAAGTTTAACAGAGGAAGGGAAATGGTGAAAATGCCTATAAATCAGTAAACTTTTGTTAAATTTTAATGAAAGTTATACGCCAGCTATTGTCCTACGCGTAATTACATTTTTAATGACTGTTTTCATTAGGCTATCAGCTATTTAATCTATTTTAATTATTAACCGTGCTATTGTTGTTTAAATTATGTTGTGGCTTTTCATTAGAATGTAATCAACTATCAAAAAATTGTAATTTTGAATGGAGACGTATAGGATGGGGAAATATCCTCTTTATGTGCGTCTCCTCCTCTGTCGATTAAGGATAGGCACGCATCAGTAATTGCGGATGTCTGTGGGTAGCGTTCGCTTCGCCATTTTGACGGATTCAGTTGGCCATTTTGCACGTTTCCCAACTAATGATGTAAAATTTATTAATACATTAAGTGGCAAACAAAACTTACATTACAAAGTTAATGCAATTAACTTTGCAATTTTCTTAGTTTTTTTTTTTTTTGAGTTAAGAAGTTTTAATTGTTTTTAGAAAAACCTATCCGGAAGCAATATTTCAGCTCTCCGATGACGTTCTTCGTTACGCTACACCGAGACATGTGTACTACATTGTAATATTGTACTACCACTGACCTATTTTTTCTCCCTCCAAGCACGCTTGGCACTAAATAAACTCGCTGTAGTGGTTTCGGTGCTGTTTTTGTTTTTGTAGAGATGCTTTAAAATATTCCAAGCTTGGACGATATCGCTTAATTTGAACATGAAGCACAAATTAGATGTAAAATGACTGTAAACTAGACATCATTGTTAAATACAGTTTTCGTTTTAGTTCTTTAAAAAAAATAGAAATGGAAAATTCTAAATTCCATGGACTTAAATGGCATAATATACGTATTCTTTTTTTAGTATTAGTCGATTTTTGGTTATTAGGTAAAATTTGTTTTAACCATATTAGGTAAGTTTGAAAAAGCTTCTGCTATAGTTCACGAGAATAGTCTAATGCCAGGATTCGAACCCTGGACCGCAAGATCGGTCCGTACCCTAAACCATTAGGCTGTTGATGCTTAACACACATTCCGGATGACATAATTATTGCACGAGAAATTAATGTTTGAAGTAGTGAATTTTACTAAAACTCTCCAGCACTTAAGATGGTGCCAGTATAAGTAATTGCAAGGATAAAGAAAAAAATAGAAGTGGAATTTATTTTCAAGTTCTAAGCGCCAAGATAGGTATTGTTCTAATGCGTTGAAGTAAGGGAGACTGATGATCGGCCATTGTTTTTTGGATTTTATTATTTCTCAGGAAGTTACTCGTTATTGTTCCAAATGTACGAAAGGAATGGGAACACTTTTTTCCCCTCGGCCTTCATTCTGTTTGTTTGGCTTTATTTGTTTGTTCAAATAAGAGATTATCATCGTGATTATTACAAACATCGGCCTTAATGTTCTGCTGTTTTACAATACACGCTTTTAAGCTATAATTACCCAAAGCTAAAACACTTGACTTGTTTTATTACCAATTTTTACTAATTTTGTATCTACTGTATTATAGCGTAATTTCACATCAATTTGTCTCACCATTTCTCTAAATTTCTGTACTTTTCTTAGCCAATACAAAATCTTCATATATATCTATAGACTAGCAGTTCCCGTGCGACTGCATCCGCATAAAATTAAGAAAATTTTATTTTATTGTTTACATGTGTCAAACTATCAATTACAAATGCCAAAATGACATGATGACAACCTTCCTTCCTTGATGTTGGCAACAACTTATGGTCTCTATTCCACATTAGGGTTTTTATCCAAAATATTTACCCTATAAGTTTAATGGCGTGAAAATGTATAGCTTAAAGCGTGATGTAAGGGTAGGACTTTTTATTAAAAAAAAAAGGTATTATTCAAAAATTGCTGACATCTTAGGCAATAAAGAAGTGTGTGTTTACGCTATATTATAATAGTATAAATAAATTATTACCAATTATATAAAGATAACGATATTTATGACCACTTATCTTGAAATTAAATTTCACTGTCATAAATTTATAATTTAAAATGCTCCAATTAGGATATCAGAGTACGTACCCAAAAAAGGGTTAGAAATATTTATGTGAGGTATTAAAAATGCAAATTATACCGTTAAAAGGTTTCTCTTTTATTTCAAATACTAGCGCGACTCCGTTCTTGTTTAATAAAAAATCAAATAGCATATATGTTCTTTCAGTCTTCATTTTTCCACTCTACATCTATGCCAAATATCATCCAAATCTGTTCAGCAGTTTAGGCTACAAACTCAAACATCCATCTATCTAAACTTCGCATTTATAATAATTGTAAGATGCAAGATTTAAATACAATATATGTGGTATTGAACATGCATAAAGCTGTTCATATTTCGTACTTTTACATATTAAATAGATTTAAAAAAAAATAAACTCCGTTACTACATTAATACTACGTTAATATCACGGACTTTATTAAATCTTTATTTTCATTCACACAGTTACGTATAAAAAGTAAGTAAGAAGTGTGAATGGCTTTTCACAACTCACACAAAGTTTCTTTAATTGAAAGAAACACTAAAGAAAGACAATCAAGCCTAAAGTGGTGCTACTAGTTACGTATAAGTTTCGACACATTCTTTAGAAAATAACCTGCTTTATTGAAAGTCCAACAGTTGTACTGTCTTCAAAACAGATAAATAAAAGAATTTTTTGACCATCATTTAAGTACCGATAGGATAAACATATTCATGTGATTAATAAAAATAAAACACCGTTCACAAATGACAACGTAACTGTATAAATCTTGTACTACATAGTATATCTCTTTCTTTTTCTTTGATAAAATAGGGACAGCATCATTATCATCATCATCATCAACTTGCCCATATCCCTTATGGAGGGTCGGCACAGTATGTGCTCCTCTTCCATATATCTCTATCAGCCGTCATATCTGAATCCACTTTTTTAGGCATATCCTCTTTCACACAATCCATCCATACTTTCTTCGGTCTTCCTCTTCCTTTGTAGCAATCCACATTCATTCTTAACACTTTCTAGTTTATAGACTGCGTTATAGATATTACAAGTATCGATAGGGCAATAGTAGTATTGTCTGACTCAAACTGTCAACATAACCCTACGGTTATGTTGACAGTTTATAGTGTGATATTCTATCCTAAGCGCGAGCGCACAACTTTGACTAAACAATCGAGCGATTGTCGATTGTTTCGAAGCCAATTCAACTGTTTATTTGCACATATAAGCTCATAGCAATCAAAGCAAGACTTATTAGTTGTGCGATAGTTTAGTTTAAGGTGCAAAATTATTTCTTTACCTGTTCAAAGCTTGCACAACCAGTTATGTACTAATTTGCCCGTGTATTTCGTGTATATAGGGAGCTTTAGGAAATGTTAATAATTCAAGGCGCGTAATTCCCTGACATGTACAATATCCCTTTGTGATTTAATCCGAATTAAGATCAGAATGGACTTATCGCTTATCAAACGTTTGCTAATTCCGATATCTCTTAATATAATTTGTAAATAAAATAACCATAAATAGTAGAAAAATTATTACTGGACTTTCATAGTTATTTTTGTTTGTTGAGCATATTCGGAATTATTAAGGTAACGCCTCGGTTATTTAAGTGATTAATTAAATTTAAAACTAAGTAATATTTAACCTACACTCAGGTAAGAAACGAAGAGTAAGTAAAGAGTGTGTTACGCTTTATTATATTAGTATAGTTCATCATCATCATCATCATCTCCTTATCCTACTCCCGTAGACGGCGCAACAGGTTTTTGTCCTCCACATAACTCTATCATACGTCATCTCAGTCATCTCATAGTTGCTTAGACATTTTCTTTTTGATTTAATTTAAAATGAAATCTTAACTCTATTTTTACCCAAAAGATTGAAAACAATAATGTTGGTAAGAGTGATCTTGAATGGATTCAAGTTTCCCAAACTAAGGAAACTTCATTTCAATTAGGATAACAATTCAGCAATTTGTTTGTTAGAGAAACTTTCTAAGGGAATCTTCCCCAAATTCGTCGCTTAGCGAACAAAACAATCGATTCCTTTAAAAGTTAATAACCGGAAGTAATGTACTCTATGCCTGTCCTCTTTTAACTATATCTGTCTCTTTTCGTCTCTTTACTCTATAACAATTAAGATAACTATATACAGTTTGTAGTCGGCTTTTGATCTATGAACTATCACACCAAAATCAGTTTTATGGTAGTCAAAGGAGCAAATTAGCGTAGATTTATTAATAGAAATCTACACTTAGGAACTGCTTAAATAACTGAGTGTATAAAAGGTTCATATTGATGTATTATTCGTAACAAAAGGGGAATATTTTAATATACAATGTTTACAGATGCGTTCCAATACAACCCAATATTGAACACAATATAAATTATCATGATAAAGTAATGGAAAATTAATGAAAACGCTAACAATGGCCGGTCAGCG